TCAACCATAAAGAAGTTAAGTGGCGCTGTCCTGGTAGGCTCCTAGTTCATTAGAGTAGTTGTGAGCATTACATAAGAAGCACATGGATAATTCAAGAAAAGAGAGAAATACCAACATGGTGGTTTGTAGAAGCAGCAGAAACAGGAAACCTCTACCAAGACCTGGGGAGCAGGCGACAACCCTAAGGTCCCCAACTACCAAGGAAAAATAAAACACTATTACCACTGCTCTCCCTTGAGGCAGCATTGAAGGACAGGTGACCACAGCTCAGCTCAGAGATCGTAGCAGGCTTTCTTTTCCATTCTAGAATGAAGCTCATTGCAGGCCAGAAGACACAGTGCATGGATGTCCAATGGGCGGAGGACAATAGGCTCATTGTTACAGACAGAGAAAGGCTAAAACACGGAGGAACAAAGCAAAAGTAGAGCGGTCAGTTCAAAGTGACTGTCCTTAGAAGGTGGGGACAGGGAGACGCAATCATGGGAAAGTAGAGCTTGCTTAGTATTAGGGGATTTTAAAAAATTATTGTTTAAGGTCTGAAACAAAGGGAGCTTATTTATCATGCTCACTGAAGTGTGTGTCGGGAGGGAGCAGTGAAATCAAGCCTTTACGTTTCTCTGTTGATATCTCAGGAAGGTCAGATTACAAATGGCTTTGTTTGGTGACATGGAACCTCAGCACGAGTGACTGTGATCTGGGGGGCGAGGGGACCCAGGACAAATGCTTTTTGTTTAACACAGGAAAAATTCAAATTCCTTCACTGTTCCTTCCTCTTTCCAGCCACTGCATCTCCCCTTCAGTCTTACTTACTGACTAACTCCTGTTCTGGCTTAAGAATCTTGAAGCTGCTCCCAGGCAAACTTCAACCTCTCCCAGGTTCGCTCAGTTAAGTCAAGTACAGGTGGTTCACGTGCAGTGAAAGCTAGTGGGTGATTTCCACGGAAACATTCCCGGGAGGTAGTGACAAGGAATGCAGCCTTTGTCACTGCCTGCTCTGGGAATACTGAGACTTTTCTGCTTGACCCAAAGGAGTCACTGATGTAACTCCAGACACACAATGACACTGTGCTTTAGGGACCCACAGGTTGATCCTTGACTGCCTGGAACACTTGTGGCCAGAAGGGTTTGGTACTTTGGATTTTTTTTTAATTTGGTGATACCTGCACAGACATCATGAGATAACTTGGACGTGGGACCCAAGTCTAAACATGAAATTAATTCATGTTCCATAGATGCCTTACATGCAGCCTGAAGGTTTTGATTGGGTTTTGACAGCAACCCTGAAACCCATCACATGAAGTCAGGTGTGCAGTTTTCCACTTAAAGCTCAAGGGCTCAAAGAGTCAGATTTTGGTACAGTTCAGATATTTGGATTTTCAACTGGTAGTGGAGATGCTGGGTAGCAGAGGCATCCAGACACCTTAGGAGCTTACAATGCTGCTATCTCTTTAGGGACCTCAGCTACAGGGCAGAGCTCCATGAGGCCCAGTGCACACATGGAGTTCCTTCAGAGAAACACTGTCCAGCAACCTGAAATGCCTAGAATAACTCCAGGCCTGACCACACCCAAGGAAGGACATGAGAAAGGCTCCAACCTGCTCTGCTGGAGGAGGCCCCCCACTTCCCTTAGGTTTTCTCCTCTGTGCTTGCTAAGAAACCTCTTACAGCACTTTCCTAAGGCGCAGCCCAGGGACTTCTCTGCCCCCATTGTCAGCTCTTTATTTTGTAAGCTTAGCTCATTTGGTTATTTTAAAAATTTATTTTAGCTATCTCTGTATCTTGCTTATTATTTTTTTCCAATTTGTCATCCTGAATTCTTCCCAGAAGTTGCAACAGTGGCGGAACATATGATATGTCAAAAATCATAGCTTCTGTTTCTGGCTGAAGCTGATGGTAGAGCTGGTTGAAACTAGACGGGGAAGGATTCTATCTTGTTACGTTTCAAGATGGACCCTGGCATAGCACTGGAAATGGAGTCCCAGTGTGGAATGGTTGGTCTCTTGGCAGATGGCACAGGTGTGACCTCACTGGTGAGAGGACCATGTGGAAGAGCCAGTGATGAAATCTGTACTGACTCTTCTCCATGCTTCCATGGGAAACTGCTATTTCAAGGTCACATGTCTGTTACCCTGCTTGGAAAATGTGCATCTTGGAGCAATTTCCTCCATAAAGTTTCTTTTCCAGCCTACTAAGTTCTGCGTGGCAAAGAGGAAAGAAAGATCATGCTGTTTACAAGAGAGGTCATAATATGTCAGATTTTTTTTTAAACGTACTGGTAATAATAATTCCCAAGAGGATTACTCTGGGATGAAGAAGTTGTAGAGGCAAGTTTAAAAGAAATCATTTGAGAGAGAGATGCATAAATTTCATGCCTTGTTATATCAAAGTACCAGCTTTTAGTATGTAATCCTCAAATAAATGGTAATGATTATTTTTTAAAAATCCTATTGTGTTCTAAAATTTATTAAGACCTGAGTGCATTTTTTTCTTTTTGTGCAGATAATAATATTATTAAAATAGTCAGCTTTATTCCTTTTACTGAATTCTGTTTATGATATCTTGTCTTGGTTTTGGCATGTAAGTTATGCATAATTATTTGTTATCCTTAGAGGAAAAATAAAATGCTCAAAATGAGAGCTGCTTACTGACTTTTTAAATAAATAAATTTATTTGAAATAATTAAACTTAGAAAGGAAGAGACATACACCGAGAGAGGCCTTTCATCCACTGGTTCATTCCCAAGGTGGCCACAACGGCTGTAGCAGAGCCGATCTGGAGCCAGGAGTCAGGAGTTTTGTCCAGACTTCTCACATGGTGCAGGAGCCCAAGCACTTGGGCTATCTTTTGCTACTCTTCCAAATACCCTAGCAGGGTGCTGGATTAGAAGGGGGCAGCCAGTACTTGAGCTGGTGCTGATATGGAATGCCAGTGTTGTAGGGAATGACGTTATTGCTATGCCACAATGCTGGCCCCTGGCTTCTGAATTAAGCAACTTTTTTTTTCTCTCTTTTGAAAGTGCTACAGAGATAGAGATGGAGATGAATCCATGATCTTCCTCCAGGTCTCCCACTTGGGAAGCCCAAACACGCGAGCCATGTTTCACTCTTTTCCCTGGTATGTCAGTAGGGAGCTGGATCAGTAGTAAAGGAGCCAGAACTCAAACCAGCATCCGCATGACCATGGGATACTGGTGTCACAGGCAGCAGCTTTACCTGTTACACCACAATGCCATTCACTTATCTGAATTTATAATAGTAAATCATTTAAAAACGATAAAAAAAATTCTTAATGAGGGGAAAGGGAAGGCATGTTTCATGGGATGCATGTTTCAGGTGTCCCCTTTCAGATGGGGAATGTTTAAAACATTTCATCAAAGAAAGACACATGTTAAAGATGGGTGACAAACTAAAAACCTAAAGAATGGAGAACTAGCAGATGGAAAAGGAGGCCCCAAGTATTCTAGGTACAAGAAGCAGAATGTGCAAACGACCAGGAGCAAGAAAACTTGCAAACTTGGAGGAAAGAAGTTAGTGTGGCCAAATGGTGGCAAGCAAGGAGACACCTAGGGTTGGGTAACAGGTGGCCAGGCAGCCTTTGGAGGAACTAGGAATGACCGGAAGATATTACATCATTTTAAACCCAAGGGAATGGCACAGGCCCCTGTTCCCCTTAGAAAAAGCACAGGAATTGCTGTTCAGAGCAGAGAGGGTCACATGTTACTCCAAGGAGGTGGTTTTGGGGAGAGCTGTGCTAGGTTGCATTGAAAGCCAGTGCATTGCTTCCTCTGTGTGAGAGATGTTGGTGGCTGGGCATTGGTTTTGGGACTGATTAGGAGAGGTGGGTTTGAGAAATACAATGACTGCTTGAATTGCTGAATGCTTCTTTCAAGCATGGATGTGCATAATCATTTCTTTAGGGCAGTTAGGACAAAGCATTGTCTAGACATAGGGGAAAGCTGGCCAATGTCCCTTGTCATCTTGTGCCTCCATACTATGTCTCAATCCCCGCAATATGTAAGGCTTCAATGAACTGATTGCTGAGTTCTTATCACGAAGGAAGCTAGCTGATCATTCTAGAAACAAAAATTATTCAGATTATTGATGAAAACTAGGCATGGGAGAAAAACAAGGAAGAAAAAAATGTGTTTTTAAGTAACCACTAACTTTAAAAATGTGTTTTACACTAACCACTACTTGCATTTTGATCTATTCATTTATAGTGTGTTCCCCTCTTTTCTTAAATGTGTAAACATCTATGATGTATACATATGTAAGCATCAAATATGTGGAGCACTCCCAAAAGCTCAGGGAAAATAGAATTGAAAGGTAAGTTTACAGGATTGGCTCAGCAGTATAGACTGGCTAAGCCTCCATCTGCAGCAGCCTTCCGTGTGGGTGCTGATTCAGTTCCGGGCTGCTTCACTTGTGATCCAGCTCCCGGATGAGAGATGGCCCCTGCTTCCATACTGCAGATCGGACTGACGCTCCTGGCTCCCAGCTCCTGGCTTCACACTGGCTCAGCCCTGACTGTCATGATCTTTGGGGAGTGGATCACCACATGGATGATCTCTCTGCCTCTCCTCCTCTCTCTAACTCTACTGTTGGAATAAATAAATATCTTTTAAAGAGATGTTTTTCTTATTGCAAATATTTTGAAATATATGCATAGTTTTTTATGCTATGCACCTTCCATGAACTCTTAGGAGCCCACATCTATGTATATATATATATATATACATAATATATATATATAGTATTATTAGTTTATGTCTTCCATCAACATCTTATTATGAAAGACACATGCAAAAAATCAATGAAATGTGTTTGGTCAGCTTAAAGACTTACAAAATACACCCTTCATCAATCACTAATCAGGTCAAGAAAAAATAATTACTTCTCCCCTTGTGCCCCTTCCCCGTCTGTCCCTTTAAGTGACCAAATGTGGGTAGGTGTGTCCTCTTTGCTTTGCTCTTGACATTATTATTTATGCTCCAGCAGGAGGGAAAACATGTCTGCTTTATCCAACTGGACACAGACTCTGGAAGATGTCTTCAAAAGGATTTTTATCACGTACATGGACAACTGGCGCCAGAACACGACAGCTGAGGAAGAGGCGCTGCAGGCCAAGGTTGACGCAGAGAACTTCTACTACGTCATCCTGTACCTCATGGTGATGATCGGCATGTTCTCCTTCATCGTCGTGGCCATCCTGGTGAGCACGGTGAAGTCCAAGAGACGAGAACACTCCAACGACCCCTACCACCAGTACATTGTGGAGGACTGGCAGGAAAGGGACAAGAGTCAAATTCTGCGTCTCGAAGAGGCCAAGGCCACCGTCCATGAGAATGTTGGCGCAACAGGGTTCACAGCGTCTGCCTGATGGGGGAGCGAGGCCCAGAGCATGCCAACCAAAGAGGCAGAGAGAACAGTGCGATGACAAATCCAAACTTGGTCCAGCTTGGTAGGAAATTCCCCGCTCTCTATTGAGAATTTGTGTGGAGATTCCATGGTTGGACCACCAAGAGAGACTTTGATCATCTCAGTGACTTGAGGGCAGGTTTTTTGTTTGTTTGTTTGTTTGTTTTCCCGAAAGATATCTTCCTTTCTGTGCCATGGAAACAATGTCAACAGTGACAATAAAACCAAGTTTAATGGAAGGTGCCTGGGCCTCAGAGTGGGGGGAGGGAGAGAGACTGGGAAATCACTGCATCTTCTGTTTTGCAGCATATCATTTGCACGTGTCAGATTCCATTTGTTAATGATCTGGAATGTTCTTGAGACGCTGAGGTTCAAAGTCTACCACGGACTCAGCCACTAAGACAGGCACATTGTGAACTCAATGTGTGGGACTAAGAATGACACTGATAGGCTTTTAGTTAATGGAAAGTCCGAAAATAGAATAAACATTTCAAGTGGCAAATAATACAGGAGCAGACTATTGCAGAATTGCCTGCTGTGACAAACACACTTTTAGTTAATATTTTGAATTTTGCATAAAATAATATTTTCACATCACTTTAACCAAAAATGATAAACCACTGCCTTACAATTTATTTTTATTCATATTTATTTTATTCTATTTATAATTACTGATTTTCTGCAGAGAGCATTCAAAATGCCACTGTCTGTTGTAAAGCTACACAGCAGGCTTGGCATTTGGGCACAGTGGATAGAATTGCCAACTGAGACCCTACCTTCCACATGAATGATGGTTGGAGTTCTAGCTGTGCAACTTCCCATCAAGCTCCCCGCCAATGTTCCTGGGAAGGCAGTAGAAGATGGCCCAAGTTCTTGGGTCCCTGTACGGGAAACCCAGAAGACGCTCTAGGATCCTGACTTCAGACTGATCCAGCTCTGGCCATTGTGGAGTGAACCAACAAATGAAAGACTTTCCTTCTCTCCATCATGCTGCCTTTCCAATTATTCTTTTTTTTTTTTTTTTTTTGTCAAAAAAAGAAAAGCTAGATAGTAACTTTAGTATGATATTTTTACTTTGGATGGTGAGGAGATGTTGGCCAAAGGATACAAAATTTCAGTTAACAGAAATAAGTTCAAGAAAGATCTGTTGTATAGTAAGGTAGCTTAACTAATAGCCATATATTGTACATATTCTTGAAAACAAGGCTGAGTGAATGTTAACTGTTCTGATCACCAAAACGATGGCCAAGTGAGGTGATATATATGTTAATTAGTTAGATTTAGTCATTACACAATGTATATGTATTCCAAAGCATAACTTATACGTGATAAACATGTAAAATGTATCTGTAAATATAAGTAAGGTAATAAAAAAATAGCTTGTGTGATGGAATACAGGGCTGCTATGATTAACGTGGTCTGCCCCTGCCACAGGCAGCCATGTGGGGCTTTCACTGACCACTTCTGCCTTCCACAGTCTCTGTTCTGCCATGTATGGCTCAGGGAGAGATCTCAGCAGGAGCCAGGCAGATGCTGCTGCCGAGCTTGTACACCCCTAGAGCCACGAGCCAGGTTGCTCTGTAAAGGGTCCAGTGTTGAGTGTCCTGGTGTAGCAACAGGAAACCGACTAAGACAGCAGTATCAGGACTGGCAGGCCTGAAGGCACCCCGGAGGTCAGCCCGTTTTTGCCAGACATTCCATCTGTAGATGCGGAAACTGCAGTCCTCTGAGACTAAATATCAAATAGGCAATGTTTACCTGCTTGGGCCACTGGCCTGGACCTCAGGGGCAAAGGGTCAAAGTCTCCTTTGTCAGAGCAGCAGGAAATCAAAAGGCACAACTGTGGGGTCTTAGCACTCTGTACAGTGAAGCCTCTGGTTTAGTCTCTTCTTGCCACTCCTTGGCCAGGGTTTGGCACTGTGGACAAGGCCTCGAGCCTAGGGTCTTGGGGTGACCACTGTGAAGTGGCCTGACAACCATATGGCAGTGCCAGTTTGAGTCCTGGCTGCTCCTCTTACAATCCAGCTTCCTGCTAACGCATCCTGAGAGTAGCAGATGATGGCTCAAGGGTTTGGTTCCTGCTACTTGTGTGGGAGAGCCGGATGAAGTTGCACCTACCAGGCTCTGACCCAGTTCAACGCTGGTTGTTGTGGGCATTTAAATTTATCAGTGAGATCTATGAGGCACTGTTAAAAGTTTGTGGATAAAGTGGAATTGGAAGAATGTCAGTGGAGCAGTTAAGGTACCATGTGGGGATACCTTCATCCTGTATCAGAGTGCCTGGCTGGAATTTGAGCTTCTGCTTCCAATCTGGCTTCCTACTAAGTAGTAGTAAGTAGTATGAAGGTGATGGCAGTTGGGTCCCTAGAAGCTGCAACACCTAGAAAGGGTTCTAGACTCCAGCCTTTGGCCTGGCTCAGCCCTGGCTATTGCAGGCACTTGTTGAGTGAACCAGCAAGGGGGGAGATTTTTCTCTTTTTCTCAAATAAAATGAAAATAAATAAATCAAAATTTTTACAAAGAGGAATTCAGTGCCAAATCATTTTGAAATCCACCCATAGTTTTCTTTTATAATATGCATTTTTTTGAACATGATGAAGATCCCTCTCACAAACACGGTAGCAGATTTGCAAGCTTGCTAACAATCAAAGACAATGTTCAGGAAAGCCATTCATTTCCCAATAGTAGAGGCGGTAACAGTGGCCAGAAATGTGATTGCACATGAACATCCATCGTAGAGAGGACAGAGCAGCAGTTGGCCATGCGTCCCAAGCCTCAGCTGTGGATCCACACAGCATCCAAGGTGCCACCAGGAGAGTCTCCCCTTGACCAAACGGCTCTGAGTCCTCTTCTTGATAAAACTCCAACTGTAAAGCCTGCAGACTTGACACATACAGTATAGCTCAAGGAGGCATCCCGAAAGCACCTGCCTGAGAAAAATGCCAGCTGCTAAGAGAACTTACTTGGTTCCAGACTCGGCATGGCGACAGGAAGACAGGTCCCTGAACCTCAAGTTAGGACAGTTACCTGAGAAAGTTTGCAATTCAGTCTCCCCATTGAGATGCAAATGTCCTACCTGTCTGGTCTTTTTGAAATGCAAACAAATTTTCTCAAGGGAGTAGTTGCTTTATTCTAACTTAGGTTACTGCTCCCCATATCAGATAGTATGTTTCTCCTCCAGGTTAAGTGCTGATTAACAAACGCGGGTCACACAGACCAGCTCCCTCCTGTTTTCTAGGAACTCCCATTTCTCTGAATAGGCTGTTACCTGTGACAAACACAAGTTGAGCTCCGTTCGTGCTCTCCTATTTCAGTGGTTGATGGAGTCAGCTCTTAGTAACTTCAACTAATATTTAGTTTGGTATGTCTTTCACAAAGGAAACTAAACCAGAGGTGGAGGGAAAAAAAAGCTAGGTTTTTCGAAGCACATTTTCTTATCGTCACTGAAAAGAGAAGCGAAAACGGGGATGCTTATCAGATGGCTTTACTTTTGGGAAGTTGAGAAATGCCACATTTTTACAGCCAGAATCATTTGCCCTATTTTGCCATCCCAGTATCAACACCCAACAAGCCCACCAGACTTTTCAGTTGCAGAGATGGGCTTTCCATTCCATCTCTGCAACTGAAAATGCAAGCTTTTCAAGAGCTCCTTCTGCTTCAGCTGCTGGCTGCATAGGACCCGAGTACCCCCTCATTTCTCCAAAAATAGCTCAGAAATTACATAAGAAGGCACTCGTGGTGGAGGCTCACCTGATAAGCTCTAGATTCACACTACCCAGGGCCACACCCCAGCTCTGGCACTTGCTGCATATAAAGTTCTAGACAGTGGACAGACATTTAAGCCAAGTGATTCAGACCCCACAGTGTATTACATTGGAGCACCCGGGCTCAGGACTTTGCTATCCTCCCAGCTCAGCTTCCTGGGAGTTGGGGTGATGGCTCAAACGGTTGGATCCCTGCCAGCCAGATCGGAAGCCTGGCTTGAGTCCCCAACTCCTACCTCCCAGCTTTGGCCTGGCCCAGCCTCAGCTTTTGAGGGCAGTTGGGCATGAGCCAGAGGTCAAGAGCACTCTCTCTCAAAAATTTTTTTTTAACCTGAAATCTGAGGCTGATATTTTAGCTTAGTAGGTAAAGCGCCTGCAATGCCAGCATCTCACATCGGCATCAGCTCAAGTTTCTGCTGCTTCACTTCCCATCCAGCTTCCTGCTTATGCTCCTGAGAAAGCATCAGAAGGCCCGAGTATTTGGGTCACTGCACCCATGTGGGACACCCAGAGGAAACTTCTGGATCCTGGCTTCAGCCCGACACAGCCACAACCATTGTGGCCTTTTGGGAAGTGAGCCAGCAGATGAAAGTGCACTGTCTCTGTCTCTGTAAGTTTTTCTTTCAATTATTATGAACATATTTAAGGCTTAAAGAAAAACACTGGATAAATGTATCTCTTTGTGTTACCACTGTGTTAGTAGTATGTTTATAATTAGAGTATATTATTTTTTGTGTTATGGTGGCACTTAAAATTGCTCCAAGTGCTTGGAACAAAAGAATTGTTATGACTTTCCTTCCACTTTAACGAAGTCTCCTATCCCACAGTTTGTTCTCCCCTCTGCATTCCCTAATATTTTCTACTTCATCGCTAGAGTCAAAGTGGCATTTACAACTAGATTGCAAATCTCAGTTTAGCACTGCAATTCACTTGTTGTCTGACACCAATCATTACATCTTGCTCACCTCAATTTCTTCATCCCAGAAGGGTGAACTGAGCATAGAATGAAAACTCTATGAATACGCTATCTCCTTACCCTTGAATAAGGGGCCTTCAAAAAGTGCATAAAACGATGGGATTACAAGATCAGTTTATGGGGGCCGGAGCAGTGGCTAAACTGGCTAATTCCTGCCTGCAGCACTGGCATCTCATATCGGTGCAGGTTCATGTCCTGGCTGTTCCACTTCTCTTCCAGCTCCCTGCTTGTGGCCTGGGAAAGCGGTGGAGGACAGCTCAAAGTCTTGGGACCCTGCACCCACATGGGGGACTCAGAAAAGGCTTCTGGCTCCTGGTTTTGGAGCAATTCAACCCTGGCCATTGCAGTCACCTGGGAGAATGAAACAGCAGGTGGAAAATCTCTCTCTCTCTCTCTCCTCTCTGTAAATAGGCCTTTCCAATAAACATAAATCTTTTCTTGGAAAAGATTGGTTCATGATACACATTTCCAAAAACTGTTTGAAAATCTTTAATATGTATGCCTGAATTTCAATGTGTGTGTTTTTTTCTCCAAAATATACTTTATAGTTCCATTTTCCATGAGCTTTCTGAAGCCCTGTTGCATTCCAGTGTCCCGTCTCGTGATTTTCCATGTGACAGGGACCGCGTGTGCTCCAGCCCTGCAAGTTTTTAAGAATTATTTGTTGAATGAAACCATCTGGGAACCTGGATTGCTGGTACTGGCATATCCTACTGTTACATGCATTGAGTCAGGTTTAAACAAGGCGGAATCCCATATGGTTGTCAACCTCACGAAGAACCAAGAATAGGGAGCAGGTGTCTAGCTTAGCCGTTAGGACTCCAGTTAAGAAGCCCAACTCCCACATCGGAGAACTTGGGTTTGACTTGGGGCTTATGGTAGTGATGGCTCAGTCTATCGGTGCCTGCCACCCATGTGGGATTCTTGGCATGAGTTCTCAGCTCCCAGCTTTGGCCAGTGTGGACACCTGGCGTAGTGAGGCAGGAGATGGAGAAGAGCTACCTCTTAAAAGACAAAAAGGATAGATGGTACCAAATTTGGTTATTGAGAGGATTCACATGACTGCTAACTTAAAACCGTCTTAGAGGGACCCAGGTGCCCCCAGTCAAAGCCAGCAGCCAGGAGGCATCCAGAGAAAGCAGAAGGGCTGAGAGGGAAGGGGCTCCGAGACACCCTAGCCATTCTTGCCCTGCTCCAGCACATTGAAACAAGCCCGCGCGTCACACAAAGGGACGGCGCCTATTGCGCCTGCGCGGGGAGCGCCAACGGCGGCCGGTGGGGCCCATTGCTCCTGCGCGCCGAGCGGTGCATTTTGGGACTTGTAGTTTTCTGGGACCGGATCGTGAGCTTTGTGGTTTATGCGCCGACCCTGAACCAGGGGCTCTGCTCCCGGGAGCCGTAAGTGTTGGTGATGGGGTCGGGGACTGAAGCCTGGCGCGTCGCCGGCCTTGTGTCGGCGTTTCCCTTCCGGGACGAACTCCAGCCGGTCTCCACCCTCGGCGGCGCGTCCCTGCCTGGCCAGGCCGCCCAGGGACTGCAGTCTCGCTTTGAGGCCCGCGCGGCCCCGGGCGGGGCGCAGGGGTGGTTTTGGACTGGCAGACAAGTGTGGGGAGTCATGACAGCCCCCGGCCGTCTTCCTCGGGTCTGATGAGTGGGGCCTTCCGGGGAGCCCCCTGGTCTGGTCCCCCCAGGTTACCGAGGAGCCCAGAGGGACCCCCACACTCCCGCCAACGGTGACCCCAGCCTCGTCCTGCAGGGCCTGGGGGTTCTGGTGGGTTCTGCTGCTGTGTATCTGAGGGCCTGGCTGCAAAAGCCATCAAGATGGGGACGGCCGAGCCCCAGCAGCACTCATCAGCTGGGGTCCCTCGCTTTGGGACGCAGTGGGGCTGGTTCTCTTCTAGAAGCCCAAGTGATGCCAGAGGCTCAGTGGGCAGCCCCCCTTCCCACACCCACCCCTGTGGCTCGTGGCCTGGACATTGACCATCTGCTTTTACTGACCTCACCAACATAAACGAATCGGATTTGTTATTGTGGCGTTTAGGAGAAACTAGAAAAGGAGGACCTGGAAGTACTACTGGCAGGTGTACCTAAGCCATTTGCTGTTTCTGCGTTTGAAGCGCTGTGGGTAGCCCCAGGGCCGTTTCAGAGTCCCTGCCATCCGTGGATTCTACGTCATCACTCACAATTGTCCTTGTGTTGGTGGCTTTTTGCAGGTCAGCCCTCAGATGGCTACAGGCTGCCCCTGGCTTCTAGTGTGGCATCAAATGTGCCTACGATAGCGGTGCAAATCACTTGCTAATATTTTTAGCTGTCTTAATCCACATTTGCTAGCTGGCCTTCAGTGTGCTCTGAAAATGACCGACACGGGGCCGGGGGATCTGAGGAGTTGGGAAAGCTGCCACTCAGACAGAGTGGCAATGAGCAGGGCTGGTGGCGATGGCATATTGGCTTTAAATCTCTTGCCAATCTAGGTATGAGGCCTACAGAGTCGGCCAGTGGGTGTTTTCCATCTTGAGAAGGTGGGGAGATAGAAATTCCAGAGTTGCAGAATTGTTCTTGGAATTCTGATTTTTATCAGGGAACGCCCTTGGGTTGGGAGGGTTCATGGTGTACCCTGGGTCCTGTGCCCTGCCTTGGTGCTCCCCTCCTCCTGGCCTGTGGGTTACTGTTCTTCATTCTGTGCCTTGCTCGACTGCGATGGCTGCCCTGTTGATGTCTTTGAATGAGACCTGGTCGTTATGGAAGTGGAGGTGTTTATCCCTGTGTTGGTGGTTGCTGTGTATCTGCTTTCTGTGTGCTCAGCACAGGGGCTTTGGGGTTCACAGCCCGGCCTCTGAAGCGGCATTGACTGAGAGCTGAGGCGTAGGGACGCCGAGCGCCTTGTCCAGGGTTGCATCCATGTCTGCCGGAATGCTGGATGGTCATTTCCACTTATTCCTCCTAGCGTGCTTTTAGGACCTAGGGTTGACCTTGACCGTGATAATAACTTTTTTAAAAATACCATTAGGTATGTGTTATATGGTCTCAGAAAATGAGTCGGGAACAGCCAAACCTCTCTTCTGTGTTTGCACACAACCCATTTAGGCAGGGTTTGCAGAAGTAAAAAACTACAAGACCTTAAATGTTTCTAGACAGTGTAACATGGCTCAACCCTGAGATGATTAGAGATTTCTTGGGATGGAAATCCCAGCCACAGGCTGTAACATGTTAGGCTCCCAGTCTGCCGCTTAGGCCAGTGAGCCGTGTCCACACAACGGTAACAAGCACCTTCAGTCACCGCTGGCACATTGGAACAGATCTGCCTTTAAATTCTTCATATTCACATATCTGACTTTTATCGGGCGGATAAGCAGCCTATCGTGTGCTGACTGCTGGCTTGTTTCCAAGCTGCTGCAATCTTGAACAGATCAAGTGTGAACTTTTTTATATCTGGATGCCTTTAAGGTTGAAACTTTCCCTACAACATCCTCCTGCAGCTCACCTTCTCTCTGTGGCATTTTCTGTTGTTTTTCTTAATTCTAAATTCATTGAAAGACAAGTGTCCTCCCCGCCCCCTTTTTTTAAAATATAAGCTCTCTAGGCACTCAACATACAGGGGTACTTCAAAAGTATGTGGGAGGTGGAACTGAAATATTTGGGCACACAAATTGTAGAAATCTATGCGTAGTTGTTTCTAGCACACATTTCCCCTGAGCTTTTTGAAGATCTCTAAAGTTAGGTTCTGGGACTGACTTCATAGGTTTGAGTTCCACTCCCACCCAAGACCCCAGATCTTGACTGAAAGTTTGTTTCTGCTCCTTTGAACTGGAAATAAAAGACTACACCTGCTAGGGCACATGCACGGACCAGCTGAGTCCATTCAGCTCAGGATGGGCGGCCACGGGAGAGTGAAGCCGTGGTCACTGTGTAAGTTTCAGACACAGGTCCTCCTCTCTTCACCCACAGATGGGACCAAGGCCCTGAGCAAGTGTGCAGTTCTACAACTCGAGCTTGCGTCTGCCACCTCTGGGGTAGGTGTTCTGTTCTGACAAGAGCTGCAGAGGAGACCCTGGAGCACACCCTGCACTCTGCAGGGTCCCTGCCTTGTCCCTCTCGCCTCCCCTTTCACTGGCCGCTCCTTGAGCCTCAAGAAGAAATTCCACATATGCCTTGCTTGCTTACTTGCTTCGGACGGCCTTTCTTTTTTCCTCCCCTGTCATGTACTTTGTTTTCTCTAGAATTTTTTTGTTTTTTTAAAACCAAGATGTACTCAGTTGCTATTCCTAAGACTTGAGAGACCCATCAGCCTTCCTCCCTAAACCAGCCTTGTACAGGGCAGGAGGTGGGTGGAGGGACAGCTTTGCACTTGGGTCACGAGTCCTCAGAAGCGTGCATGGGAGCAGGTGTCCCTTAGGTGTGGCATGGCCATCCCTGCTGGTTACTGAGTACTTCCTGCTGCATGGAAGCCAGGAGGGGCCCAGCCTCTCCCGGGCCTCCTCAGGCGCTGCCCAGCCCTAGGCTGCCTTATTCAGGATGTCCACCTACCTCTCGGAAGAGCCTGCTATCAAGCTGACCTCTGCATTTGTTTTTTCTTCTAGCTCTCTGCACCTGACCTCCCAGCTCCTTCTCTTCATGCGCTGGTCTGGGAGGGCCCTTCCTTGATCAGGAGTCAATTCACAGGTGGCCCACCATGAACTGGAAGGTGAGGATAGATATAAACAGTTACGGTTTGGATTTTTGTTTTTCTTTGGATTGTAAAAACAGAATATTAGTAGACTGATAAAATAGAAAAGTGAAATGAATGCATATGATATTTATTTATGTTTTTTTAAAAAATATTTATTTGAAAGGTAGTTATGAGACAGAGACTGAGGGCAAGAGAGAGATCTTCCTTCCACTAATTCACTCACAAATGGCTGCAGTGGCCAGGGGTGGGCCAGTTCAGAGCTGGGATCCGGGAGTGTCTTCTGAGTCTCCGATTGGGTGCAGGAGGCCAAGTACTTGGGTCATCCTTCAGCTGCTTTCCATGCCATTAGAGGAGACTGGATTGGAAGTGGATCAGCCAGGACTCAAACTGGTGGTGCTGCAGAATGCAGCTTAATCCACCACACCACAGACAGAAGCATAATGGTATTTGATACTTCGAGTCAGAACAGAGGTATATATTTAATTTCAACACTTCTGGAAGAAAGCCAAGCCTTTTCTTTGAGTATGCATGCACAAACTTCAGATTTGCCCTGCTTAAAAAAGCGTGGCCTCAAAGCCTGTCCCACAGTTGTACATTTTGGTATAAGGCAAGTGTAATGGACTGAATGAGTCCTCCTCACTTCCATATGTTACAGCTGTAATCCCAGCATGATGGCATTTGGAGGTGCAATCTGATTGGATGGAGCTGCCATAACTGTGATTAGTGCCCTGATGCCAGGCAGAAGAATTCACATTTATTGGTTCAAATACAGTACCTAAAACTTGCTACACATGCATTTTACACTAATTGGTCCCATTTCCACAGGTAGTCAATTCACAGAACAGGGACCAGCCCCTGCCAGCTGGCAAGGGCAGGAGGTAGCAGAGGGCCTGGGTGGCCTGCCAACTAACATTGGATCAAACAGGACTGATGGAGCCAGGCTGGCAGGTAGCCCTTGGCCAGCCCTTTGGGAACAAGGGCTCAGCAACATCCCATTCACTCGATTCCTGCATGAGACTGCGGGTGCAGGTGGTCTTCGGGTGCGTAGCCCAAGGACAGGCTCATCCATATGTGTGCCACCAGTGCCCCTAAAGGTGGGTTTGTGGGAGGTGGCGCTCCCTATGCCTTGAACACAGGAAGGGAATGGAGGCCTTTCCAAGGAGGTGGCTGGTTCCCGGTTGCGCAGGCGGGAAGGGCTCCCCAGACAGGGCCCAGACATTACAATGCAGCCACAAGCCCCTATCACGCCTGGGATGGCAACACAGACAAAAACACCAAGATCCTAGGGCAGGCGGGGCTTCTTTCCCGACAGAAATGTGTAAACACAGCAGGAGCTACGATATTCTTTTTTCCCCACACGATTCCTCAGAGGGGAATCAACCAGGATGTCACTCAAGAGGTAGTTTGGCTTTTTTTTTTTCTCCATGGAAATTTGAGTCAACAACATTATCACCTATTACAAGACATTTCAGAGAAAGAAAGAAGTGGTCCCAAAAGGGCAAAGGCAACCCTCTGGCTGGCAGGCCTGGCTCCAGGATTTGGAACGCAAACCCTCACCAGTCTCGGGCGTGGAGCAGGCTCCGGCCTGATAGCTTCCCTCAGAGCCGACGGAGGATCCCTGAGCAGGCTGTGGCTCACTGGGGAAACAGGCCCAGGAGAGGGGGGCCACTGGGGACTTGGCTACACAGAAGGACCAACTAGGCTTCCTGTGAGCTGACAGAGGAAGGGCCACTGCAGCTCACACCACAGCAGAGCCCAGATCTGGCTCCCAAGTCCAGAAAACAAGATGTTGTCCGTGGTAGCCGAGATGGGGAGGGGGCTTCTGGGGACCCTGTAATTAAATACACATCCCTTTCTGCTTTGTGAGGAAGCAACGAGAAGTTGACAGTAGGAACCTTCTAGAGAACCCTGGGCAGAACCCAGCCATGCCACCTCTGGGGCAGGAAGAAGCACATTGTGCCTGTCGTAGATAAATGGTCCGGCGCATGCCGCTTTGTTTAAACTACGATCTTGTGAAGCATCTCTGTACAAAATCTTCCCAGATTTCTGTGTTTCTTCTCTAGTTTTTGTTTTTTAATTAAAAAAAATTCTCTTTAAGTTTAAAAGGCAGAAAGAACAAGAGTACATGTGTTCTCTCCCTCTTGTTCATTATCCAAGCTCCCACCAAAGCTGGGGGTGGGCCGAGCCAAAGCCGGAAGCCCGGCACACGACCAGGCCCTTCCCAGGGGGCTGCAGGGACCAGCTGTTGGAGTTACCACCCTCTGCGTCACTTGGTGGGCAGCGGCAGGAAGCTGGAATCAACAAGGGATCCAGGGTTGGAACTCAGGGACTTGGAGATGGGATGTCGATATTCCAAGTAGCGTTTGAATGTGTACACCAAATGCCTGCCAGCTTCCCTAAGCTTTTACAGTTGTAAATAGCTTCTCTCTCTCTGTTTGCTCTTTTTCTTGTGCCAATCAAACTCGAGTCTTTCAAAAAGCATTTGCTTAGTTTGCATTTAAGTAGCCTAAATTGTTCTTTTTACAATCATGTTACTTATATTTCATTTATTTTACTGATTTCCTTATTTTAAAGATTTGTTTATTTTATCTGAAAGTCAGAGTTAGAGAGAGAGAGATAGAGAGCAAGATCCCCCATCTACTGCAGTTCACGTCTCATGGCCACAATGGCCAAGCTGTCCCAGTCTGAAACTGGGAACCAGAAGCTTCCTCTGGGTCTCCCATGTGGGTCCAGGGGCTCAAGGCCACGGGCCATGCTCTTCTGCCTGTGTAGCATGGAGCTGGATCAGAAGTGCAGCAGCCAGGACTCAAACTGGTGCCCATATGGATGTCTTTGCTGCAGATGGAGGATTACCTTGCCTGCTATGCCACCACACTGGTCCCTTAAATGCCATTTTAAAATAAAGTCTCTACTGTAGCCACAAGCACCACTTGATGAGTTGGAGAGTATACACACCTCATTCCTATAGATACTAGATTCTGTGATGGGAACAGAAGTTCAATAGTAGCCAGAGAGTCTGAGCCAGCTGTCCTACTCAGGGCCTGTCGGTTTGATCTACAGAGGGGAGAGAGGACCACTTGGATTCCCTGTAGGCACCAAGGTGAGGTGGAGGCCAGTTGACAGAGCCTGCATCCAGGACCCATGCAAAGACACAACTGGCTAATCCTCTACTTCTAAGCACTGACGTCTAATGTGGGCACCAGTTCATGTCCCAGCTGCTCTGCTTCTAATCCAGCTCCCTGTTTGTGGCCTGGGAAATCAGAGGTGGATGGCCGAAAGCCTTGAGACCCTGTACGGCATGGGAGACCTGGAGGACACTTTGGATCTGCTCAGCTCCAGCCGTTGTGGCTGCTTGGAGAGTGAACGAGTGGATGGAAGCTCTCTCTTCTGTCTCTCCTCTCTCTGTAAATCTGCCTTTCCAATGAAAATAAATAAATCTTTTTTTTTTTTAAGACAGCCTGCACTAACATGTTTAAGGTAGTCACTTTGGGAAGTATTAAAATTCATGCACCCCACTGAGAGATAGCGGCTGTGAATGGTTTTGGTGTATCTTCTTGCAGTAGTTTTTTTCCTATAGAGGGAACCTTCAAAAACTCATGGAAAATGTATATTATGAATAATACATGGATTTCACCTTTTTTTTTTGCATAAAGTTAATTCCATGATCTTTTTTGAAAGAGCCACATACAAGTCTGGTGTGTGTCTCTTTCCAAATGTAGGATCCTGAAGTTAATTCCATTAGAAGCATTTCCTTGTTCATAGCCTGCAGTGACTACTTATTGTAAGAGAACTGGAAGGTTCTGGAAGCAGGATCGGGAGGCATGCGAGTGCAGACGTCCCCTGCAACCCTAGCTCTGTGGGGCCTGAGCCTTTTTTGTGCGGAAGGGTCCCTTGTGGAGAGCTCAGGGCTGTATCCTCCAGGGAGAATCTGTGGAAGTGACGGAAGTAGAAGGAGGACTCTGGGAAGGGGCTGAGGAGCTAGGAGAGTTTGCTTCGTATGCACTGTGGGGCCAGAGAGGTGGAGGAGGGACGAGGAGGCCATGGGAGCCAACCAGGGAGAAACAGCCAAGAGGCAGAGGGGGAGGTAAGGTTTGCTTGCAGAGGACATCCACCTGCTGCAGTGGCTAGGCCAGTGGGGGCAAGAGGCGGTGACTGGCACTAGAGGCCGTGTCAACAAGGCTCTCAGCATCATGTTGCATGTACCAGGGTGGTGGGGCTTATACCTGATGGCGGTCACAGTCACCTTGAGGACCAGCGAAAGGACTGGCCTGCAGCTGCTGGTAGCCTTGGTCTGGCGTGGGGCCTGAGTGTGCTTTGCTGCTGCTGCTGGTCCAGGATGGCACATAGTTAGCTGTTATTCTTCATTGTGCAGGGGCCAGCTGTCCCAGTCCTGCCTGCAAGAGACCTGTCTGTCTCCAGGTCAGGAGCTGGATCTGCCCAAACCTTCCAGCTTCAGACAGGCACAGCACCCTGGCATACAGGGAGCGGCCTTGTGTGTGAAGCAGGCCCCTGGCTCGTAGTACCAGAGAGGAGCGATCTCCTTCTGCCCCAACTGAGAGAGCCTCAGGGTGTCCTGTGTCCTTTCTGACCCAGTGGGCCAGGGGCTGGCAGCCACAGTCAGTGCAGCCTGTGTGTTAGCAGCAGCTGTGGCCTCATTGTTAAAGGAGTTAACCATGGCCGCTTCACAGGCACTGGGCACTTTAAAAAGTAGGGTAGATCTGGCCTGCCCAACACTCAACACTGCCTTCCCCCAAAGGTTTGCATGCTTTGAGAGATACGAAGGGCTTGCTGGAAAGACTGAACAGATCTGGCACCTTGTACTGCCCTCCCCTCCCCCACCGGAGGTGCAGAGGGCCCCACACTCTTGACATTAGCCTTTAGTGTCCTTGACCTCCGCTGCCCTCAGTCCTCAAACGGCCACCTTCTCTCTGGTCCCTAGGGGAAGGCAGGCAGGACCGAAACCACTCGCTGGCATGTACCTTTGTTGCTGTGCCTCCATTCCTGTTCTGTGCTGAGTCGTGGAGGACTGCGGGCCGTAAAGCAGTGATGGTGATGGGACTTTAGGCTCAGCACAGTGGCTCTGTGACTCAGAAGTGGATCCCCACCTCCCCGAAACGGGAGCCTGCGGCACGGTGGGCTTGGAGGATTGTTACCGGGCTGGAGCGGTGAGGTTAGCCATGCTCTGGGGGAGCGAGGGGTGGAGACTGGAGCCGCTTCTGTTTGCCAGGATGAAAAGTTGTAGTTTGACTTTAACTTTTTTTAGTGTTTTATTCTTTGGGCAGTGATGTTGTTTTATTTATTTATTTTTAAATGCTGCTGTACTTAAAAAAAATTTTTTTTTAAAGATTTCATTTGTTTGAAAGGCAGAGTTAAAGAGAAAGAGAGGGAGAATGAGTGCGATAGATATCTTTTATCTATTTCTCACTTCCCAAATTGCCTCCAGAGCCAAGCCTGGACCAGGCCAAAGCCAGGAGCCGAGAGGGTCAGCCCAGTCTCCCATTTGGGTGCAGAGGCCAAAGCAGTTGGGCCATCTTTCCCTGCTCCCAGGAGAATTAGCTCTAGCAGAAGCAGAGCAGCTGGGACCTGAACAGGTACCCATGTGGGATGCTGGCATTTCCGGCAGCGGCTGAACTCACTGCACTGCAACACTGGCGCTATTCCATATATTCTTTATTTAAAATGAATTAGTGGCTACCAAGCTTGACCCAATTACTGATTATCCATATGTTCTTATCCTTTTATTTAAAGTAAAATAATTTAAATATCTGAAGTGCCCCTCCTCCTGTGACACCCCTCATATATTTATTGTATCACAACCTTCAGATTTCCGTGTCTGATACCGTGTCTAGTCCTCTCGTCAGTTCAGTAGCCAAGCCATCATGTACCTGCATAATTAGATGGTGGCAGTGAGAGGGTCGTGAGAGTGCTGTGTATATCACCTGGCACCAGTGGGTGACACGCACAGCGGTGCTTGGCCAGGATTAGGTCTCCCAGTGACTTTGTAGCCAGCAGTTTCTGGAAGCACACTGTGATGCACACACAATGACGTCACCTGGGGATGCAACTCTCGGAAGGCGTCCTGGTGACCCAGCAGCGCGTGTCTGCATCCCCGGGCAGCAGAGCATGACCGGGGCCTTCAGGGTTGGGTCAGACCCTGCCTCACCATCTGCACTGTGCTCTTCCTCAGCCACACAGCCCCGACAGCCTGTCTGCCTCCTGTGGGTCATGAAGGATGAAAGAACTCGTGTGGGATCCTGGAGCATGCTAGGTTCCCATAAAACACTCACATTCAGTGTCTGTGTGCACGTGTGTGATTTCATCGATTTCATTTCCCTGCCACTCAGCATCGCCCAACTCCTTTGGCCCCTGCGCCCAAATGGGAGATCCGTGCACCAGTGGGAGGGACTGTCTGTCCCCACTCTGGCCACAGCACTGATGGCTGTGCCTCGGGCTCAGCCTTCATGAACTTTCCTTCTCTCGTTGAGGTCATCTTCACAATCCCGTCCAGCCCCCTGCACCTGTGAGCACATTGCTCTCAGCTGCACTTTCACCGTCCATTTCCAGTCAGCATCAGCGGGACCAGCAGAGGGGATTCAAGTGTGCTTCCTGTGGAATCTCGTTGTGTTGACGTTTAATGCACGAAATAATGCTTGATAACTTAGCCTGATGATTTCACTGGGATAGATCCTACTTGGTCTCCTAAACAACTGATGCCTTAATTAAAACACGCCCTTTCGCTGCATGTGGAGAGTACTAGTTAGGCACACGGAAAGCTTGTCATTATCGTTTAGGTCGTACCAGCCGTGCTTATGAAACCAGCACAGTGTTTTCTTTGAGATACCATTAAGCTATGCCGGTGTAGAATTTCATAGTAAGAGTCACAGGTATAATGAGTGAGCAATTCAAATCCATAGTTACTCCTCAGATGCCATCTAGCCAGTGGGGGAAGTTTTCTGCCCAATGGGAAGTTATAGAGGCAGTTAACAAATAGCCGTGTTTTGACCTATAGTTCTTTTGAATTCTATCTTACCTTCAAATGCCAGTGCTAATGACTGAGTCTGCAGAACCAAGAGACCTTCATGGTGTCCTGAACTGGGAGAATCTAGGGAAGGTCCAGGACTTCGGCAAGGGAAGAGGCAGAAGCTCGGACATGTCCAGGGACTGTCCCAGCTCACATGGTCAGCCAGTGGCCTGGCAGAACTCTACAGCAAGCTTCCTGGCCCCACCTTATCGGACCCTGAGGCCGCCTCCAAAGCAGGGGTGAAAGTGGGTGTGAGACCTGCTGGTTAAGCTGCTAGCATCCCACACCGGGCTATCTGGGTTCATTTCTTGGCTGCAGCTCTTGACTCCAGCATACCAATGATGCAGGCCCTGGTAGCCAGCAGTGATGCAGCGTCCTCTCTGCCCTGAGCCCGACAGACATTGAGGTCACAGGCTCCGGAGAATGTGACAGTAATTGGGGACTATCAAGGAACTGTGTTCCTGCCACTTACGTGAAAGACTGGCTCCTGGATTTGGCTTCAGCCCAGCTGCAACTACTGTGGCCATTTAGGGAGATTACCAACACATGGAAACCCTCCTTGTCTCTCTCTCTCTTGCTCTTTCTCAAATTATGAAATAGAAAGAAGCAGGGGGCTTGACCGTCCAGCCAGTCCCATGGGATACTGCACCTGTAGTTGACCGGGCTTCCTCTCTGCGGAGCCGGTAGCAGGGGAGTAATGAAGGGCAGAGCTGTAACTGCACCATTGGTGACTGGTGACCTGGAGCAGGGACCTTGCCTGCATGGTTGCCAGTGTAGCCCTAGCACTAGCCTCGTGCCTGGTAAACAGCAGGTGCTCAGTAAATATTTGCTGGATGAAGGGACATAAAAGACGCATGCCATATCACTGATAGAGCGATTAGAGCGGTTTCTTTTCTCCTCCAGGCCATCGAACATGTGCCCGTGCTGCTGTATATCTTGGCAGCAAAAACGTTAATTCTCTGCCTGGCATTTGCTGCTGTGAAAATCTACCAGAGGAAGAGATTGGAAGCAAAACAGCAGAAGCTGGAGGGTGAGAAGAAGGAGCAATCTGAGAAGAAGGAAAACTAAAGGGAGGTGCCAGGTACGTAGACCTTGCAGATGTGCAATGCCCAATGCAAGCAGTGTCCTGCCACTTGCTGGGCATCCCCTGTGTGAAGGGCTACATGAGGGCACATGGCCCCACGTGCCCTCCAGTAGAACAGCCCTGTTTAAGGGTCACACATACAGCTCCTGATGCCCGGTCCTGTGTGCTCTGGCTCCAGTGTGACTCCTCGTGGGTGTTATGTCACAGGACCCTTGAGAGTGTGGCCATAGCTGTGGACACAGCACACCTGTGCTGAAAACACCTGCAGCTGTGTGTCAGCTTGGAGGTGTGGGGAGCGGGATGAGGAACAGAGGAGCCCATGTCACTTGAAACCTCAGGGCTAAGAAGAAACTCTCTTACCTCATATAGAATGTGACTCCTTGTCGTGGTCGCTCCCCAATCTGTCCTTCCCCTGTTCTCACATGTCCGCTTCCTTGTACCCTGCCCAGCTCCTGCAGGCCATACCTGAGACACAACAGACTCTCATGCCCCTTGGCATGGGTCCTTAGTGCCCCCGACTAAAGGGGTCAGCCTCAAAATACTTGCCAAGTCCATGAAAGACTCACTTCTCAGGGTAGTCTGGTCCCCATCACTGTGCATACGGGAGGGTCCCAAAGATGGGGGTGGGGGTTGGGACAGTCAGTACATGAAGACTCCAGGAACCAGGCGTTAGACCCTATTCAACATATGACCACTTGGTTCTGCAGTGTTAATCAGTGTCTTCATTTGTCTGGAGGGTTCAGCTGTGATGACTGGAGTGTCTAGGTCAGTGGCCCCCAAACTTGCTGGAGGATCAGAGCTATCGGGGCACTGGGTAACAGCACAGCCTCCTGGGCCCCAGCCATTGGCAGAGCCTGTTAGGTTGTGGTTGGATCTGGGCATCTGTTCTTTGGGAAATTTCACAGGTCAAGGGGGAACATTTGGCATAACAGGTGCTATGGGATGCTTAAATCTAGAGCACCTGGATTCGAGTCTCAGCTCTATTTCTGATTCTAGCTTCCTGCTGATGCATAACCTGGCAGCGACAAGACATGGCCCTGGGACTTAAGATCCAGGTCAGCTTGCTCCAGTCTCCATTGTTGCAAGCATTTCGGGAGCCATCCAGTGGATGCAAGGTCTCTCTCTCTCTGCCTTTCATTAGCAGGGAGCTGGATCAGAAGTCAAGCAGCTGGGACTTGAACCATCACTTTTACAGGATACCAGTGCTCACAGGAGGTGGATTAATCTTCACCCTAATGTCAGTCCTTCTGCCTTCCAAATAAAATAAAAATTTAAAAAGAACGAAACTCCCGCAGGTGATTGCTACATAGTGCTCACAACAGACAGGTGCCTGTGGAAGCCTCTGGTCTAGCTGCCTGCATGGCACTGCCTGCCGTGCACAAGCCATGCCTCCCGTGCCACTGCCTGCTTCTGGCAGTAGCGACTCCCTAACAGCGATGCTGGTCTTGTTGATGTTGAAGACATGGAGTGCCACTTCCCAAGAGATTCTTCCCGGCCGGGCGTTTTGCTAAGCTGGCTTTGCATATCTGGCCGTCCTAGGCAGTGTTTCACCAAACCTCTGAGGTGTGTTCACATTCAGAGGAGTGGCCCACACCAGGTGTGGTGAAGAGCCGAACCACGGCCTGAACCCATGTCAGGCATGTCTAACTACTGTACCACCCTGGGCTGTGTGGCTTCCCCAGGGCCTGAGGCTGAGCCCGAGGCAGCGAGCACTTCTCTCTACTGCTGCTCGCTCCCTGGTGTTCACCCCAGCGTGGTGGTCCCAGATGGGCTCCAGGCTTTTGCCTGTTTCACAGCCTTGCCTGGCTTCTCTTTTAGGCTGTCTGGTTGACTGACACTCAGAGGTAGGCGCTACTAGGAAGGGCGAGAGGGCGCAATGAGGGCAACAGAAGGCTGTTTGATGTAAGGTGCCATTGCTTGCAGTCATATATCCCCACCAGAGTCAGCGCTTTATGCTTTAAGCTGAAGAAACACAGAGCGGATGTGGGGCCCTGTGTGCTTGTTTCTGGCGACAGCCATCCCCCGAGACACATCAGTGAAGTCAGGGACGGGGGCTTGTGCAAGTGGACACAAACTGACCAAGGGGCTCACTGTGCTGCGTCAGGAGAGACGTTACAGAAAAGCCTTTGTTAGAAGGAAAATGGTGCAGCTCAGGGCTTTCGGCTGATCGCATATCTCAACGCTGAACGGTGCAGGTTGCTGTTGAGCAGGTGAAACACTAGCTGCCATTCTCAAACTTTCCTTCTGTCCCCCTTGGTCTTCCTCTGTAGAGTTTGCCCCGCCAGTGTCAGCTTGAGTGGACTGAGCCCGAGGAGCAAGAACAGAAAGACTGCAGGTCAGGGGAGAAGCTCTCAACTTTAAAGAACTTAAAGCAGTGTAACTTGAAACCATGTGGACTTTTATATGCTTTTAAACAATGTAGTATTTTGCTGAAATAAAGCACCTTCATAAGAAAGGCGTCTCTGGTCTTTGGAGTAATCTAAGTGAGTGTGTGTGTCTTCCTCTCTCGTGCTCTGATTTCTATTTATGGCCATGAATAGAGTGCCCAAAACTGGCAGCTCAGAAAAGTGGTTCATTTGGGCTCACAGTTGCGGGGGTGGAAAGTGTGAGACTGAGCATCTAGCTATGGAGAGGGCCACGTGCCACTTCCACGCAGGGTGGAGAAGGGGAAGGGGAGTGGGCATGCGCACAGGATGAAGCACGAGGGATGGCCTTGCTTTGTCAGGGCTGCTCTCAGCGGGACACACCGATTCCCAGGGGAATTAAACCACTTCTGGGCAAGGGGCGGCACTAAGCCCTGGTGGCCTTCATCACCTCTGAAAGGCCCCACCAGGCTCCATTGCAAACCCAACTGCACCAAGAGTTTCAGAGCGCCATGGCAGAGCGGCTCTCCCCACCCCTCCCTTTCCCCAGCTGTTCCTAGCTATGGGGTCCCCAGCTGTTCCTAGCTATGGGGTCCCCAGCTGTTCCTAGCTATGGGGCCCAGTCACGGGTGCACGGCCACAGAGGCCGGTCATACAGGCAGCATCTGCTGGGGGAACAGGATCCTGGGCCGTGCAAGTCACAGCCACTGCCCTCACCTGCTTGTTCCCGGTGTGGCAATGAGAGGTGGTGGAACCTTCAGGAGGTGGAGCTCAGCACACAGGAAGTAGGTCAGCAGGGGGGTCACCTTCATAGGATCAAGAGGAGTGGGAAAAGGCAGTGTGACCTCCTGAATCATGCCTGCTTCCTGTCTGTGATGTAGTCTCTCCCTCCGCACACACACTGGCACCATGGGGTCTCTCCTCCGCACACACACTCGCACCATGGGGTCTTTCCCTCCGCACACACACTCGCACCATGGGGTCTCTCCCTCTGCACACACACTCGCACCATGGGGTCTCTCCTCCGCACACACACTCGCACCATGGGGTCTCTCCCTCTGCACACACACTCGCACCATGGGGTCTCTCCTCCGCACACACACTCGCACCATGGGGTCTCTCCCTCCGCACACACACTCGCACCATGGGGTCTCTCCTCCGCGCGCACACACACACACACACACACGCACACTCCCGCTTTGAAGCCCTCCCCAGTGCAGGCCCTCCCACGCTAAGCTGACCCTCTTTTCTGTAGACATTACTCAGCTTCTGGCATTTTATTATAATAACTGTAACTGACTAACACACCTGACTCTGCTGGCTACAAACCTCAAAATGATTGACAGAGACTTTCAGTTAAGCTTTTAGCCCCTGTAGAAAGCTGCCTTTGCCTGGGAGCCAGCTGTGGCCAAAGGGCCTGCTGGGACAGGAAGAGATGAGCAGGAATTGCAGGGCCCTGGCCCACCCTCCTGCACTGGTCAGGGTCCCTCTGCAGCCTGGTAGGCTGTGCTGAGTGCTGTGTTGTCTGAGCCCATGCTGGGGGCTGGGTCTACCTACACAAGGCAGGCACTACCTGTGCCCAGCATGGCAGGCAGCACCCCAGTACCTCGGGCACTGTTTCTTCCCACTGGCAGCTGGCACACCCACCCATGTGAACCCTGAGGCAGAAGGTCTGTTGATTTTTCACAGAGAATCTAAGTGTGCCTGCCCAGGAGCTGGTTCTGCTTATTTTAAACATAGGTGCCAGGGGTGTTATGGCGAAAGGAAACAAAGCCACCACTTGCGGTTCCATCATCCCATGGACACCAGTTCCCATCTTGGCTGCTCCACTCCCAATCTAGCCTCCTTGCTAATGTACCCGGGGTAAGCAGTAGAATACGGCCCGAGTGCTTGGGACCCTGCCACGCATGTGGGAAATGGATGAAGCCGCTGGCTCCTGGCTGCGACTTGATACACTCACAGAGTCAGAGGATGGAAGGTCTTTGTCTCTCTAACTTTCAAATAAATCAATAAATCTTTAAAAAGTAAATAAATACACACCGGTGTATTTTCTAGGCCTTGACATTTAGAACTCGGGAATTTGCTGAATAATCTGCTTAGAAAATTTGGCAGAAGTTGACCTAAGGATTGGACTGACCCACTGACCCGCACAGTTGAGTTTTCTCCAAGTGTGAAAAGGACACCTTTGTGTCCTGTGTCAAAAAACCAAGCCAGGGTATTTAGTTAGGGTCACGTGGGTTAGGACAGTCTTAATTCATGACCGATGGGACAGGAGCGCCATCTGCGGACAAGGAGATGGACCGACAGGGAGCAGCCAGCCGGTTAGCCCAAGGGTCTGGCTTCATTTTGCTTTTGGTCACCTTTCTTTGCGCCTCTGCCACCGGGTGTGTGTGTGTGTGTGTGTGAATCATTTATGATTGTACTTATCCGTGTCCCTCCTCTATCTGGCCATGATGTCAGTAGCTTTTTAATAACTGTGTAATTGAGTGTGTGTGGCCGGTGGGAGGGGTCGGAAGGCTTGGTCACGCACACAGCCCGATGCTTAGCTGTCCCACAGCTCTGGATGGTAGTGGGGGAGTCCGTACTGCAAGCCGTGTTCTCTGCCCGCGGGGGACCCCAGGACCCCTTATGCAGCTCCTGCTTACTCTCCCACGTGTTCCTGACACGGGCTTCCCAGCTTACAGCATGCCAGGAGTAGAAAGAATGAAGACCGATGACAACTCAAGTACTGACAGTGAGACAGACAAGCAGTCCAGGCCTGGAAACTCATGGGCAGGCCGGCACCTGCCAGGCCAGGCCACGTGGCAGCATGCTCAGCATGGTGACCTAATCACTACAGACAGGTTATGCCACTTCCTGACCCAACAGGGCAGGCAAGCGCTCCCTGGGGTTCTCTCACACTGCTCCCGGCAGAGACACAGCCTTCTAAACAACTTGTTCCTGACGATTCTCAGCTGCCTGCATCTTTACCGTGCCCCTGATTTCATGATACCTCGCCTGCACCAGAAGCCAAGGGCACAGACACGGGAGGTGCCCATGCCGGCCTTTTGGGGGAGAGGGGAGCTGTGTGTGATGGCGGGGGTAGGGAGAGAACCCCCCTGAAATGAGGGGAGAGGAATCTGGAAGGAAGAGAATAGAGGCTGCTTAAACTGCAGGTTCCTTCAGGATGAGCTGCCCAGCAAACATGGGACCGAGCCTGGGGGCGGGCGGAGGTAGGGTGAGCAGCAGGGGCAAGCCGGGGGCGTCCTCTCTGTGACAGCTGCCCCAGGAGGCCAGACACAGTGGTTTGGTTGTTCATGCCATGCGGGGCCTGTCCACACGTCCCTGCTTCCCACCCCTCCCCACCTGTCCTTATCATCCTACTGACCGCCCTCTCCCACACACAGATACCACACTCAGTCACACACAGAGCCACAGGTAGCCTCCTTCTCACACACTCACACAACACTTGCACACGGTCTCTCGCACACATGCACCTGTCACACGCAGTCACACATATACTACACACCCCTCAGCCACACATGATCTCACACACACACACAGTCTCCATCTGATACAAACCACACACACCACATAACACAAACACCACTCACACACACCTTTGTGTCCTGTGTCAAAAGACCAAGCCAGGGTATTTAGTTAGGGTCACGTGGGTTAGGACAGTCTTAATTCATGACCGATGGAACAGGAGCGCCATCTGCGGACAAGGAGGTGGAATAACAGGGAGCAGCCAAGAGGGAGCAGCCAACTGGTTAAGGTCTGGCTACTACTGCCAGTGGGCAGCACCTCAGCCTGGACTCTCAAGATCGGAGCTTCCGTGTTCGGAGCACTCGGTAGAGGCCACACACGGTGTCACAGCTTGGCATGTGTGACCCGTCTGTTAAGCTCTTGGTTAACTAATTGTGTTAAGTTGACCTTTCTGGTTGTGGGCTCCCACTGCGGATGGGCCTTTGCACCTGGTCTGATCGAGCTGGGAAGCCTTGGCCATACAGAAACAGCAAGCTAAGCATGAGTATTGGCAAGTGGCTTTTAGGATTTGATGACAGGGATTGAAATGGTAGTACAACCAGCATCCCACATTGAAGCCCCAGTCATCGGCTGAAGTCCTTCTGAATAAGACAGTGAAGTTCAGGATGCGGCAGCAAAGATGCTGGTGCTGTCTGCACTTGGCCGCCTGCACTGGCTATTCGGAACCCATCCTTGCAGTCTATTACACAGTTGAGGCTGACAAGGGTTGGGTAGAAATATGCACGTTGTTTTTACATAGTCTTTATTTTTTAAAAAAATATGTCTTTATTTGAAAGGTGGAGAAATAGAGGCGGACAGACAACAGCTGGGACTGTAGCCAGGAATACAGTTTTTCTATGTGGGTGGGAGAGACCCAGAGACTTGGGTCGTCTTCTGCTGTTTTCTCGGAGAGCTGGATCGGAAGCAGAGCAGCCCGGGCTTGAAGCACGCTCCTATGTGGCGTTCCAGCTTAGCTCACGGCTCCCCTGTGCCGGCCCCAGTGTTTATTTTGTAGGGGAGTTTTGTTAGGTTCACAGCAATGCCAATCAAAGAGTAGAGAGTGCCCACACACCCCACCTCCTTCCTCCACAACTTTGCTCACTGCCGATATCTAACGTTTTACACACCCCCAGAGTGTCTACTTCTAATTATGAAACTAAGCCTGAATGTACAGAAGCAAGAGCAAACGCTGTGGCATACATGACGTAACGCTGTTCCCATGAAAGCACAAATCCCCAACCCCATGACCCTTGCCAGCGGCGGCCTTCCCTGAAACAGGGTGCTGTGCGCTGGCAGGGGGTGGTGTGAGAGTCCATGGCGAAGCTGTGACAGCTTCTTGTTGGGGTCCTTGGGTGGGGGTGGTCCTGCAGATCCCCTGCACACCAGCTGTTCACCAGTTCGTCCTTGAGCCCACTGCTGCCACAGCTTTTTAAGCTCCTGGTAGACCCAGGTCGTCCTTGAGCCCACCGCTGTCACAGCTTTTTAAGCCCCTTGTAGACGACTGGCTTGCCTTGGAAGGTTTTCTATGGGTACCTGCTACCTGCCAGAGTAAAGGGCAGCATTGTCCCTGGCCACTGTCTGAGACTTAGTCTGAAACAGTGAAATCTATTAACCCACTGCTCAATTTTGACATTTCTGTGTATGTACAACTGCCAACTTTATTTTCTTTGATCTAGTCATTTTTAAAAAATTATTTATATGTGGGTCCAATGCAATAGCCTAGTGGCTAAATCCTCATCTTGAATCCACTGAGGTCTCATATGGGTGCCGGTTTATATCTCGGCTGCTCCATTTCCCTTCCAGCTCTCTGCTTGTGACCTGGAAAGGCAGTCGAGGATGGCTCAAGGCCTTGCTTGGGACCTTGGGACCTGCACCTACATGGGAGACCTGGAAGAAGCTCCTGGTTTCAGATTGGCTCAGCTCTGGCCATTGAGGCCATTTGGGGAGTGAACCAGGATGGGAGATCTTTCTCTCTGTATTTCCTTTTCTCCATATATCTGTTTTTATAGTAAAAAATAAAATAAAAAAATATTTATGTAGTTATTTTAAAGGCAAGGTAATGGGGAGAGAGACATCTTTCATCCGTTGGTTCATTCCATAAATGGCCCCAACAGCCAGGGCTGGGCCACGTCAAGGTCAGGAGCCAGGAACTCCGTCCATCCTCGTCCTCCAAGGACCTGGGCCATCCTCTGCTGCTTTGCCAGGTGCCTTAGTGGGGAACTGGACTGGAATGGAACAGCTGAGACTTGGACCATCAGTTCCTTATCACCACCAGCAGCAGGCGAGCGTGCGGTACCCCAGTTCCTGTTTCCCGGCCTAGGTTGGACCACCCGGCACTAACCCGGCTCACTCCTGCCCCGCCTCATCACCCGTGTAGACTGGGCGATCCTCTCGATCACATACCTGCGATGTGGCCTTAACCAGATGAGAGCTGAGACCCGTCCCTTCCTGGCATGTTTTAATGAAAACTCAGGTAGAATCCAAGCATGGCGTTGGGCCGCTCTGTGGTCACAGCATCGCTGTGAGGGCACTGTCTGCGGTAGTTTTCGTGGTCCATGGCGTTGGCATCCTTGGGCCGCTCTGTGGTCACAGCATCGCTGTGAGGACTGTCTGCGGTAGTTTCAGGGACAGTGCTCAGACTGGAGCTCGACAGGGTTGGCGGTTTGGAACGCGCACCTGGCCTGGAGGGATCACCCTTAGGAAAATTTCCCGAGATAGTAGTTTTCCCATCTTCTGACTTTGTTCGTTAGCGTTTTCCATTTGCTTGGATTCATCCTTTCAATCCCTTTGCTAACCAAATCACTGAAAAGGATATACTGGTATGAATAGACATTGTCGTTGGACTCAAGGCAAAACTCCTTCCTGTTGTTGATGATGAACCATTTCAGAGAAGACCAGGCAGAGTCCAAAGGGTTCAGGTAGTTGTAAGGTGCAGGCAGGGAGAGCAGTTCGTGGCCGTAGGACTTGGCCACTTCCGGGCAACAGACAAGGCTTGTTAAGCGGATGGCTTTTGGCACGTCGGCCTCAGCCTCTGCTTCTCGGCTTCCCTTTGGCCTCATCTCATCCTGCTGCCGCCTCTCTTTGACCACGATGGCACACTTCCCATAGGCCTTCTTCGTCACATCACAGAACTCCAAGAAGACACCATTTTCCTGCCTGACGCACAGCTCGTCTCTCAGGAACATCCGGTATTTCCAAGGAACCCAGCCGTGGCTACCCCCGGCGTGCACAACACACCAGGTTGGCGTTTGCATGAAGTAGCCGTCACTGAAATCCTCACCGGTGACTAGGCTTTCTGGGATATCGGTTTCCCCAAAATACACGGTCTTAAAGCCGTCACTCTGCAGCGTCCTCAGAGCTTTCAGGTACTGGAGCACCAGTTTCCTCCTGGTGCCGTCAAATGGGCGTCTGACGGTGTTTTTTAAAAGAGGGTTTGTAAAGTGAAGCATTGTGGCTCCCCAAGTGGATCTGAGAGGTCGCCTGTCTGGCTCCAGGGAGAGGTGGGATGATGACTTCATAGAAGGCTTTCTGGCTGCCGAGTCAGCGCCATAGATACAGCCCCGGGAGACGTACGCTCGGAGCACCACGCGTCTGGCCTCCAGGAGCTGGGGATGGCAAGTGCTAACCATGGCCAGTGCTTCCTTGGCATCGTTCCTACAATAGATACGAGCCCAAGTCGGAATCTTCAGACAATGCTGAGCCAGGTTTCTGACTCCTACTCGTGTGCTGCGTTAGGATGGAGAGAAACAGTTCCACTCTTTCAGGCCATTTAAAAAAAATTATATTTACTGAACACTTTCTGGGAGCCAGGCTCTGTGCCAGACACCAGTAGGGCAGTCATGTCACCTGAGTGAGACCCAGAATATATGTGGTGTGTGTCTGTGCCTGCACAGCTCTTACGCCACAGGCACAATCTGAGTGATCTTCTCCAGCAGCAGAAGGCTGTGGCCAAGAGCCGAAGAAAGTCGGCCTGCGCACCTGCTTGTCCTTGAGACCTCCAACTCCGGAGCCAAGGCATGATTCCATGTAAAAGGTGTTTTTAATTTTATAGGTTTGGGAATAAAGATAGTTTTGCTAATTTTCTCTGTTGGTGTTTTCTTACAATTCTTTTAGCCCCTTAATCAGTGTTAAAGACACTTCCGAAATGTGCAGACCAAACGATCCGTTCCCTTGCTCTGCTGTAAAAAAGATGGGGCTTGCCAGGCGCCAGTGTGGGTTTTGCTTGGGAACTCAGCTTCAGGCAACCCGAGAGAGACAACCATCATGGCCAGGTCAACCTGCAGCAGGGGGTCTCCAAGCAGAGCCCCTGGAGTGGGTGGTCTGGGTGGTTGTTGGTTCATGGTCATTTTCTCATGATAGAAACCAGTTTTCAGGCTAAAGTTGATGTGGGCCTGGCTCAGTAGTTAAGTGGCTAAAGTCCTCACCTTGAATGTGCTGGGATCCCATATGAGCACTGGTTCTAATCCTGGCGGTCCCGTTTCCCATCCAACTCTCTACTTGTGGCCTGGGAAAGCAATCGAGGACGGCTTAAAGCCTTGGGACCCTGCACCCACATGGGAGACCTGGAAGAGCTCTATGCTCATGGCTTTAGATTGGGATAGCTCAAGTCATTGCAGCCGCATGGGGAGTGAATCATTGAAGGAAGATCTTCCTCTCTGTCTCTCCTCCTCTCTCTCTATATATATAATAATTTTGCAATGAAAAATAAAATCTAAAAAAAAAAAGTTGATGTAGATGCCAAATAATAGAAGGGAAGTGTGGCTGCTAGAGTTGAAGTGGCTGTGGTGCTCCCATGTCCTCTCTCCCTGCTCCCTTCCAGAGGACCCTGTGGCTGAAAGGGCAGTGGGCAGTGCTGTGTACTCAAGTCCAGTCCAGGAGCGAGTTCCTGCTTTCTCATACACCGTTCAGTTATATACAGGAGACAATTGCTGAGGAGTGTAGGAGAATCTACAAAAGCAGCCATCTTTTATCTGTGTGTGCAACCATGCATGGGCGTGCTTGCTTATCTTTGCATTTAACAAAAACAAAGCAAGCACTCATTTTGGAAAGCTTAACGTGTAAGAGAAGGGAAGGAAGAGGAAGGAGGGAAGAGTCCTGGAAGGTACCATTGCGTTATCCTATCCATTGACAAAGAGGTGGAGCGAATATTTATTTGCCCTTCTTTGTGTGGACTCTGTGTCAGAGTTTAAGTAAATGGCAGGTCAAGGGGTGGGTGTGCACCTGGCCCGCTGGACTTTGTAGTGCAGTAGAGGACTTGCAACACTGGGTCTGTGCGCAGAGATGTTGGCACCAGGTGGAGTCGGCATCAAATCTCATGCCCTGTCCTCATCAGCCTCAAAGTCCTGCCAATGCACGGGAGGGAATAGTAGGTTAAAATACTGAAGGGAGGATTTGCTTGCATCCAGCTCAAAATGTTACTGTGATGAAGACAGGTCCCCAGATTGTCTGTAGTGACTCTGGAGACATGCTGAGACAGAGGAGCGAGACTACCAACCAAACCAAAAAGCCATCAGTGTTGAAATGAAATGGCAAAAATGACAAATGCTTTCTCCCTCCTTCTCTCTCCCTCTCTCCTTCTCTTTCCTTTTCTCTCAGAACATTTTGAAGCCTCAAGGATCTGCCCAAGTCTTGGTGGAGGCTCCGTGAACTCCAGCAAACCATGGCATCCAGGATCACCAGTGAGATCCAAACACCATGTGTGGTGGTAACACCTGCTCTCATTGCCTCTGTGGCTGCTGCTGGGGCATGCAGCAAGCAGCAACAAGGCCTCCTCTGATTCCTTTCCCTTGATGCAGAGTCTGGAGCCTCTTTAAGCTTTGTTCCATGGGCTGCCAGCTCCAAAGCTAACAGCAGCTGCTCAGGGACTGGGGATGACTCTGGCTGCGGGGCTGCCGGAGGACAATGGAGGCACCACCAGGGGGCGGTATAGATGCATCTCTATGGGTGAGCACCTGCCAGGCTGAGGCCCAAGCAAGAGGCAGACACTTCCAGGGCCCCAGGAGTTCCCACTGGAGTCCCCCCAGGGCCTGCCCTGTATCAGCCCTTTTCCTCTGAGCTGTAAGAGTCATCACTATCTTCTAGAAAAACATTTCCTTCATCTCTGCTACCTAGAACCCAGCCTGATGTAGGCTGAGGCTGCCCCTACTTGCGACTCACAGTGTGGTGGCTGAGGGCGGGCATGGGTCTTAGATCCAAGGGCTTCTGGGCTTGTCACTTGTGCTCTGGAATCTTCGCTGGGGCTGAAATCCTACAAGTCTGGTTCTGGTACATGTCCCTGAGCCATACCTCTCTGCCTCTCCCCAGGAGGACCACATGCTTTTTGGGGGACCAAGAGTGGGGAACCAGGGACCTTGTATCCCCTAGCCCAGGAGCCCCTGTCTGTCCTTGGTCTGGGCACAGCTCCTGCCCTGAGTGGCCCAGCCCTCTCCTCCCTGTCTGGGACAGTGGCACACCTTGCTCATCACACAGAGAGATGGAGCCAGAACCTTCCGAGGCAACAGGCCCCTGAGGGCTTGGCATGCAGCTGTGGAAAGCAGAGCAGGCAGAGAAACCGCTGAGAACTCACAGGATGATCTTGCTGCCTGTCCAGCGCGCAGCCTGCTTCTTTCTCCCCAGCTCCAAAACCAGATTCTCTGGGAGAACAAGTGAGCCCATCTACCCTGAGATGAGGGGTTAGGGCGTCTTCTGGCCCTGGCTTTCATTCCAGGCTCTGTCTCCTGACCCCATTCTGAGAGGCAGTGGGGATGGCTCAAGTGCCTGGCTTCCTGCCACCCATGTGCAAGACCTGGATGGAGTTCCTAGCTCCTGGACATCTGGGCTGTGAGCCAGTGGATGGGAGCGCCGACTCTCACATGCATAAAATAAATTTCAGCATTTTAAAAATTATTTTTATTTTTGATGATTTTTACATAGTTGGTTAGGGTGGTTAGGGTCAAGGGCTACAGGAAGGGGGGTGAGATCACCATTTCCACATTCTCTTTTTTTCCTTCCTGTATCTGTGGGAAGGGGGGGAACAAGGAGAGACGCACACCCAGCTTCCCAAATGCTTCTGCACCCTGAGATGGAGGACAGCCACCCAGCACCATGTCAGGGTCCCCGATGTGGGGCATGCTCTGAGGGTTCTGCTCATGAGGGTTCAATGTTTCAACAGTTCTGATTTACTGCCAATCTTGCCACTCCAAGCATAATGAAGTCTCTCCAGAATCCACTGGTTGATATAGCCCACCTTAGTGTCTCCATTTGCCCAGAAATTCACTGCCAACACATGCCTGGGGTAGTTGATCAATTTGTTCTGTCTTCATCCTCTGTTGTGGTACCGGGTGTCCTCTGTGAACCCCAATCTACTGCCACATCCTCCATGTGCACCTGGACATGCTGTCCACTGCTGTGTTTCAGCCACCGAGGAGGCCCAGCTCTGACACAGGCATTCCATGGTCAGACCATGGAACCTGCAGTTCTCTCCATCGTTGGAGTTCTTAGTCCAGTGGTTCAGTTGCAGGGTGAAACTTCATCTGAAGTGATCCCAGACCTTAGCTCACCTGAATATTCTGTCTGCATTTTTCTTGTGGAGCAGGTAAACTGTGTGGGTGCGTAGAAGCACTGATGTGTGTTTTCCTGTGAGGAGTATGTACACATGTGTGTGTGTGTGTGTGTGACATTGCATGTGTCAGTAGAGGCTATATGAGTGTGTGTGTCTCTACCAGGGCCTGCATGAATTCTTAACACCTCCACCTGTCAGACACTTGCTCCGGATGGACTTCCTGTTTTCCCAGCAGCTGGGAACAGAAGTGCTGCTCGGGGGAGACAGAAGATCTCCCCACCTCCCACCCCCACCCCACCCTTGAGAGCGGGTCTGGCCCAAAGGGACGGAGCCACCTGGCTGGGCACTCTCCCACAGCCCACCACCAGGCTGGAGCTGGGAGGCTTCAATGTGGTCTGGCTGTAGCAGGCACAACCTCAGCCCTGCTTGTCTGGGTTCTTTGCGTGCACAGAGAAGGAGGCAGCCAAGAGCTTCTCCAGGGGCAGCGAGCCCTGGGGGACAATGCCTGCGAGCTTTTCAGAACTGCTCATGTTAAGGTTCCATATTGCTCCCCTCCCTCCCTCCACTCTACCCCATCCCACACAGAGAACTGTAAAGCAGGACGGGAGAAACCTTTACTCAGGAGGCCTTATCAGGATTTTGGTGAGACACGGCCCTAGGGCTGCCACGGGCTTTGGGGTTTGTGTTGAGAATCAGCATCAGTTGGTTTCTCATGTAGATGCCATGCAGATTTTTAAGTACAGAGATCCTTGGGTTGCATATAAATTGTGAAGAACTGGGGAGGGGGGACTTCAGGGAACCCCACACGGTGCCCCAGTAACCCGCATGGAACCTGACTCAACTCTGCCTTCTCACTCCTCACTTCAAAGAAAAGAAAGGGTGATATTTTTTGGACAAAGACTTAATGGGCTATAATACATGAAATCTGAGGAGCTGTAAAATGTCAGTTTCATTAACAGGAGGGAGGTCCAGAGTGAGCTGGTAAGTCATTACTTAGGAAGTATATACATTCTCAATTCTGCCAAACATGTGAATGAATCGCCCTTTACAGATGGAGGAGCATCATCGTCCCTACCCCATGTTAGAATTGACTGTGGGCTGCCTCATGGCATTTCCTGCTTAACATTTCCAGTGGTGTTTAACCCTGAGTGGCAGCTAGCTTGCAGACTGTGAGCTTCCAAGAGGTAAGGTGGCTGTCTTCTGCTTTGACTAGCCAGGGTGTCATGCAGGTGTGGAATGCATATGGCTTACTAGTTGACGCAGCTAGAGTTCTACTCACTAAATATGGAGTGAGATGCTCACAAACAGGTGGGCTCTGGGTCTTGATTTCCAAGACTCACCTTGTGCGGTGGCAGAGCCTATGTCCCGCAGAGCTCTGATCTACATGAGGGCCCTTGAGGAAAGTGTTCCAGGAAGGCTTGTTGGTTTGGTTCATGCCATGGGTGGTGCTAAAGGCACATGGGAGTCTCAGAGTTTAGGATGCTGTGGAAATCTTCTTTGCTCACTGTGGTTTGAGCTTGCTTGGCATTGAACTTCTTTGTATTATTCTTTCTTTGCACCAGTGTGGGACCCCCATGGCCACACAATGAAAAGAGGAAGTAGAATGTAATAATGTAAATAATGATTCAACTCCTACAGGAAAGACAGCAGAAAGACACAAAGAGAATTCTGGAACTGAGGGAGAAGGCTTAGGAAAAACAAACTTGGAAGGGGACCCCCTCCCCAAGGCTGACTTTGAGATTTCACAGAAGCAGAGGTGGTTGTAGCCACTGCATGGAAGAGAACTTCAGGATTTTCCAGGCCAGAAATGGTCCACAGACTTGGGCAGCAGAAATCGGCCCTCTGAGGCAAAACTCACCAGGGCTGGCGAGCAGGTGCAGGCTGAACATCACCATTGTGGGCATGTAGGGTTGCTTTCCAAGTCCTTCCAGAGGTGGTTCTCATGCCCTCCAACCCACTGCTGCCCTCCTAGGAGGCACAATGCCCTGACTACCTGTCCTGATACCTACAATGGATGAGCATTCCCATGGAACACAGAAGACTCCCCGGAAGGTGGTGCTGGAGCCCGTTTGCCACCTGCACTGGCTTGTGTCCCTGATACCCTAGAATCAGGCTGAGTATCCACTAAGACAACCGTGTGCTGCCCAACAACCAAACGCGCCTTGTCCCAACTCACCACACCAGATGCTTCTCCATGATTCTCCCATTACCCTCTATGAGTTTCTCTCTCCATGGCCCCTCATTCATATTGTGTGTGGTCTTTTTCCCAAGTTTCAGTCTTCCAACTCCCGTCTCCCAGTATTTAGGTAGGACTGAGCTCAGCCTGTGTTGCAGCCACCCTTCCCTAGGCACAGGTCTGACTGCCTCTGTTTGGTCACTTTTAACAAGTTCCCTGCACTTGGGCTGCTGCCGTGAAAACCCACAAAATGGACAGATTGAGTCATGCACATTTCTTTCTCTAGTTATAGGGGTTGGAAGTCCAGAAAGAGGATGTTGACAACTACGGTATCTGGTTCATAAAGACCTATTTTCTTGTTGTGTCTGTCCTCAGGAGGTGGTCAGAGAGAAAGAGATAGATAGATAGATAGATAGATAGATAGATAGATAGATAGATAGACAGATAATAGCCATCTGGAGTGTTTTCTCTTAAGGGCACTAACCCCATGACAGGGACCCCACCTTCACGACCTCATCTAAACCTATTTATCTCCTGAAGACCTAACCTCCAAAATGCCATCACATTGAGAGCTGGGGCTTTAATATATGGATTTGCGGGGTGACCAGCTCTGGTCAGGCAACTCCATGAACTTCACCTCCAACAAGTAGCTTACTACAACCATACCTTCTCCATTGAGATTTTTTTCCCCCTGCATTTCTAGAATTCTTTATTTTTTATTTTTTTTTCTGCCCAAGTCTCATCTTTTGCTTTTCTTTTGCATTTAAAGGGAGGTATTAAGGGAGAAGGCCCACCCAATTTCCCACCCTCCCCAGGTCCTGGATGTAGGGTATTCTCTGAGGTTCTTGCTCAAGTGGTTTTGATATTTCAACAGTTATGAATTGCTGCCAATCTTGCCACTCCAAGCACTATGAGGTCCTTGAAGAATCCACTGATTGACATAGTCCATCATAGTCTCCGTTTGCCCCGAATTTCGCTGCCAAGATATAGCTGAGATGGTTGGTTGACCTGTTCTGTCTCCTCTCTTTTCTTGGTTAGGGTTCTGAGTCCAGCATTTTGATTAGGGAAATCTCCAAAGAAACTTTGTCTGAGGTGTTCTCAAACCAGATTCTTGTATGTGCTAGCAAGTACAGGGCCCGGCACAGTCCATCGTCCCGATCAGCTGGTAGTTGCAATTGCTGGGTTGGTTCTGTTTTCCCTCATGACTTCCACTGGAACCAATGGGTGTTGCAGTCCAGCCTGGTTCTGCACAGCGCAAACTTGGCCCTCGCATAAACCAGTGGGAGCTGCAGCCTAGTTGGAGCGACCCGCAATAACCCCCACCAGGCCCACCCCCTACCCTGGTTTGCCAGTATGTGTAGCAGTAGTCCAGTCTGTCCCACACCCCATTCCACCCCAGCCGCTGTCCTAGTTTTATGCCTTCCCGAGGAAGTGGTAACCCAAGAGGGGGGAACCCACTATTTCCCTCCCAGGCCTCTCCCACTCCCAGATTATGCACTCTCCAGATAGTTGTGTGGTTTGACTTGAGAGAACTAGCCCCCAGTGCAAGCTTCTGCCAGCTGATGCTGTGGCTAAGCCTAAATAACCCTCACCCACTCTAATTTTGTTTACACCAGTAGGAATAATCAGCCCAGCCTGGCTTTTCCTTGATCTAGTCCACATGAGGCGCACAGGTGTTGTAGTCCTGCCTAGTCTGGTCTGTCCCCATCCCAGCCCATGCTCTCCAGCAGGAACAGCTGTCCAGCAAAGGAACCCTCCCTTATTTCCCCTGTCGGTTCTACCCCCTCCCTTCCTTGTTCACATGCTTGCTGGTTGGGTGCTGTGGTCCCTTCTGGTACAGGCAACCTCACCTTGGCATTCTGTATTGTGCACCAGTCTTTGTTGCGACTGGACCTGGCTCGACCCACACTGTCCTGGTGCTTGGATTTGCCAGTGGATGATGTGGACAAACCGGGTGCCATGAGCTGTAGATTCACAGAGCTAGCCGTACTTAGGTCCATCTACATTGATCTTAAATCCTACCCATTGCAGCGTAAAGCTTTTTATTTGAATTGATCTAAATCTTGGGGTGAAATTCCATGCGCAAGGAAAGAGGAGTATCTGGAATGTCGGGAAGCAGCATGCTCTGCTTCCATCTCTGCCAGGACTGGTGTCAGCTGCAGACCTCTGAACTGAGCCCTGGTGCTGTGAGACTGCCACTTTCCCTATCAATCCGAGTACCTGGGGCTTGTCAAGACAGTGATGAATGATCGTGAGCACTCACTGTAGGCTGAAGGGATGGTGCACAGAATATCTGTAGTGCCTTAAGATTTTTCTTGCCAGGATGGCTTGAAAAGCAGCTTCTGCAGAGGTAGTCCCCATCCTAGCATACACATTCGAGGTAGCCCCTCTGATGAGTTCCCCAGAGAGTAGGTGGACTGGGATTCAACCACAGGGAGGAGTCCTGGGTCTTGTATAGCCGTTTCTGTGCCAGGGGGAAGCTGTTGGCATTTGCTTCCAGGGAAGCACCACTGGAGCGTCTCTGGTCACATGTCTGGCTTCCTCGAGGTTTCCATGATGCCAGGGGTTGAGGGTTAAAGAGAGATGGAATCTCACTGATGCTATTCAACAGATCAAGCAACCAGAAACCTTACAAAGGATGATTAGCAGAAACAAGGAGCTCTCTTACCCCAAAAGTCTAAAAGTCCTGGCTAAAGAAATGAGTCCAACCTCCCACATGCCACAGTGCGCATCTTCCTTTTTCAGATTCTGGTTTGAGGTCAACTGTTTTCAGGAACTTATTCATTCAGTGGTATCAATTAGGATATTTTCAATGGCAAGGGACAAAAAGCTTAGCTCTAAAGGACTTAATAAAGGGAACTTATTGGCTCCCAAGATGAAAACTTGCAGCAGTCAGTTAGGGCTTTGGACATCATTGATGAGTGCTCAAAGCTCTATTATTTTCTCAGTTCTGCCCTCTTGTTTCTTTAAAACAAGATTTATTTTATTTGTATTTTAAAGTAGAATTACAGAAAGAGAAGGAAAGAGAAGGAGAGAGAGAGAGAGAGATCTTCCATTCACTGGTTCACTCCCCAAATAGCCACAATAGCCAGAGCTAGACTAGTGCAAAGTAAGGATCCAAGAGTATCTTCCAGGTCTCCCATGTAGGTAGATATAGGAGCACAAAAACTTGGGCTATGCTCCACTGCTTTCCAGACCATCAGCAGAGAACTGCTTAGAAATGGAGCAGCAAAGACACGAACTGGGACCCATATGGGACGTTGGTGTCATAGGTAGAGGATTAGCTTACTATGCTGTGATTTTGACCCCTTTACCCTGTCATATGTGTAGGTTTCCACTCTCAAGTTGGCCTTCATCATGGTGCCAGAATGAATCCCGCCATCTCAAGCTCAGATGTGCATTTAATACTGTCCAGAGCAAGAGACCTTTCATGTTCCAGAATCTCCCCTGAGGAATCCCTCTTGTCATTCTGATGGGGTCAGTTTGTGTAGGTCGTCTGTATTTCTGGACCCAGTGTGTATGGGAGATGGGATACGTTGAGAGGGTCCATCTAGATCTCTCACCCCAACTTTTGACCAAAAGATGATTTCAGCTTTCGTATAGCCACATGAGTCCCCAAATACAGATGAAGCCAGTTAGGCAGAGTAGGGGAGCATTGTATGCTGTAGAGACCACCACTGTGTGATGACTGAGCCAACTCCTTGAGCCTCTCCTTGCTCAAGTTCCAACCATTTGGTCCCATTTTAATATGTTACACATTCCTATTTGTTAGCAGATCTGTTTTTTGTCTGTACAGTTTTTAAAAATTTTGTCCTGCCCTATTAACACTTCAAGTATAAGCAAGAAATCCCAGCCTTTATCATAGAATCAAACTACACTTGTTTCCAGCCTATGGAATGATGATGATGATGGTGTGGACGAGGTGCAAATAGGAAATGCCCTTGAAAGTGTATCTTGTCCTACAACAATAAGAGACTAGTGCTTAATTCTGATCTTTATGTGATCAGCAAACCACTGCCTAGAGTCAGATAAAGGAAAATGACACCTTTAAGTCAGGGGACAGCTCCAAAAACTAGACTCAATAACATTTATAAAAACTTAAAGAACATAGATTTTCCCTTTGCCAGCTGAAAGTCACTTGTTTAAATTCAACTACTCACAACTTCCCTAGCTGCATAAGTTATTGCTATAAGTCCAGTGGGTATTAGTGGAAAAAAGTACTCAAGGCAGCTAACGTTATGAAGAAAATTAATTTATATAGTTCCCAGTGTAGAAGCCTCAAAGTGCACACAGTCTAGTGTGGGCTCTTGTCAGGGCCCATGGACTGGTTTGCCTTGTGGTGGAGGGCAGTGATGGGAGCATTGTGAGAAAGGAGCATTGCATTGCCTCACAGAAGCCAGAGAGAGGCTGGGGCCCCCACTCTCCCTGCTGTGGGCAACCCCAAAATGTTCCGAGGATCTCGTTTTTAGAAATGTCTCCCCACTCACTCTCAAGATCGAGAATCCAAAAGATGAGCCCTTGGGGAACACACTCAACCCACGGCAGCTATCTAGACAAGATCTTTTTTTTTTTTTTCTTAAGGCAGAGTTAAATGTATAAGAAAAGGCATTTGTAGAATATTTGAGTGAATCACATGTCTGAGGTTAAGGAATCTAAAAGGATCTGGTCTGACTGCACATAAATCCTCACTCTCTTGAAGTTGATTCACTTAACAGGTCACCAAATATGCAGATGGGCTTTCCTTACAATGAGGCAGTGCAGCTATTGTCAATTCATTGGTCATGTTCTGATCCATCATTATCACCATCAGCATCAACTACAACCACCAACGTCATTTTCAACAATCTCAATCACCACCACCACCACCATCACTTACTACCACCATCATCAAAACCAACCAACACGCCACCAACAACCAATACCATGACCCATCAGTACTCAAACCAAATCTTCAACATCAACCACCACAATTACCATCACAAACATCAACAATTAACACCACCAACATCAACAGCACCATCACCAACATTAACTACCACTACCCTAACCTTTACCCTTAACATCAGCCATCACCAATACCACCACCATCACAACCATTGATATCAACCACTGCCACAAGCAATGTCATCAGTCTCAACCTCCACTACCATCACAAACATCTATCATGACCTTCAATGCCACCGGCAACATTAACCATCAGCCCCAGCAGTGCTGCCATTACACACCAACGCTTCTACTTAAACATTTATTCTATTTTCCAACACAGATTCACAAGTATGAGCTCAAGAGATATTATCTCCTTGGTGAAGCTAGCAGATTTGGCCTGCTTTTCTTGATTTTATCTATAAGGAAACTAAATTTCAGAGGGGGTGAAATGGTTGGTGTAAAGACAGCAAGGTAGTTGGTTATCGAACTGATGGGAGTTTCATCCTGCTGGCTCCACAGCTAGCACTTTTTAAATACATCTCATTTTTTCCCATGAAAACCAAGTATTCCTCATATCTGATAGCAACAACTTCGGTCCTATGTTCCAGTTAGAGTCATTTTTTAAAAAGATCCATCTGCAACATGTTCTAGGAGAGCAATTTGCCACCCCAAATCATGCGACCCCCAAGAAGCTGAAATTTAACCCAGGATGTGGGACAGCAAATCCTCTCTCCTTTCCATGACAAGCAGCCACCTGCTTGTATACTTCTAAGAGTTTCCTGAGTTATTGGAGGACACGATGCCCCACATCCTTTCCTGGAACCCAGGTTTTGCTACTGAGAGGCAAACCTGGGCTGGACGCCACTGGCTCTGCCTCTACACTGACAGGTTTGAAAAGGAACTGGGAAGCTGGCTTCTCATCACATGGAATCCTGCTGGCCTTGACTGTTAGGGGGATCCCTGGGGTCCTTTGTGGGGCCTGCTGTTCCCATACCTGAGCTCCGGGCTGGTCTCACCTGGCTGCATTCAGTTCTGTTGCTAATGGTCAGTGGGGAGCATTTATTCACCTTACTCTGAAGCCCTCTATTTTGTAGTTCAGAGGTCAAGTTTGCATAATATGTATCCTCTAGACACTTGTCATTCTTCCCAAGGGTGTTTCTAGCTAAACAGAAGAGGAAGACCATGCCTAGATGCCGATGATGGTGAGGATGTCCCGGGCAGCACTCATCCCATCCGGCAGTTGTAAGGCCCTGGCGGAGTTGGTCACTTTCCTCCCATCCATGCTGTGGCTCGGGAGTGTGCTGGCCTGAGTCAAGCTGCAGGGTCTCTGGGTGCGTCCCCAAGGTTCACTGTAAGACAGAGAAATCCAGATGAGGTCAGGCATGCTGGGCAGAGGGCTGACTGGCCACACCAGTGGCAAATTTCAAAAGACATTATTTGTGGATGGAGCAACGTACACAGTTGACTGTCTGTGGCTGTGGGGTCTGCACATTCCTGTTCAACTCACAGCAAATGAAGAGCAATCTGGAGGAAGAAATGGCATGGACCTGTATAGACTTCTTTCCTGGCTAATATTCCCTAAACTATACAGCATAGCAGCTGTTTCACAGCCTTGATCTTGCACACTCTGGAGATGATTAAGAAAATGGGCTGGAGCCTAGGTTCTGCTCATGATGCTGGCATCCCACATCAGAGTGCTGCATCTCATTGTGGCTGCTCTGCTTCTGACCTTGTCCCCCTGCAAAGGTACCTGGAAAGGCAGCAGATGATGGCCTAAGTGTCTGGGCTGCTGGGTGGAGTTCCAGGCTCAGGCCTCAGCCTGGCTCAGACCTGCCTGTTTGGGCCATTTAGGGAGTCGTTTAGTGGATTTAGTCATTTAGTGGATAAAAGATCTCTCTCTCCCCCTCTCTCTCCCACGTTCTACCTCTCAAATAAATAATTAGATAAATCTCCAAATAAAAATTAAAAAATATAGGAGATAATGTGCAAATACTATGCCATTTTTATATTAGGACTTTGAACATCCCTGAATTTTGATGTCTGTTGAAGACTGAATCATCCTTCAATGGAAATACATTTTTAAAGATTTATTTATTTTTATTGAAAGGCAGATATACAGAGAGGAGGAAAGACAGAGAAGATCTTCCATCTATTCACTCCCTAGTGGCCGCAACAGCCGGTGCTGAGCCGATTCAAAGCCAGGAGCCTGGAGGTTCATCCGGGTCTCCCAGATGGGTGCAGGGTCCCAAGGCTTTGGGACATCCTGAACCGCCTTCCCAGGCCACAAGTAGGGAGCTGGTTGGAAAGCAAGGCCACAGGGACCAGAACTGGGGAACATACAGGATCCTAGTGCATGCAAGGTGAAGACTTTAGCCATGAAGCTACTGCGCCAGGCCCTAGATGTACAGTTTAAAATGCAAAAGAGTTCAAAACATCAAGTTCTTGAATAGGAGCCAACACATCATAGCTATGTCAATTGTCCCTAAAATATCCATACAGCTAACATAATTGCAATGAAAACATCATTAGTGCTGGTGTGTGTGTGAAACACAAATTATTTGTATAGAAAAAGAAGTGTTAAGAATGTGTAGAAGAGAAGGCATTGTGGTACGTCAGGTTGAGCTGCTGATGGCTGGACACCCTCATCCCACACTGTGATGGTTGGATTGAGTCCCTGCTCCCCTTGTGATCCAGCTTCCTGCTAACACACCTGGCAGGATCAGGTGATGCTCAACTCCTTGAATCCTTGCCATCCACATTGGAGACCTGGATGGACTGCCTGGCTCCTGGAGGTTTGGCCTGACCCAGCCCTGGGTGCCATCTGGGGAATGAACAAGTCCGTGGAAGAAATCTCTCTGTGTCCCTGTCTCTTTCTGCCTTTCAAATAAATAAATAGGAACAAATAGCATTTAAAAGTATTAACTGGAAAAAAAAAACTTTTGAAGAAATGAGCAAATTCTGGTTAGCAACTTTTAGCCAGAAGTTTAAAACCAGAAAAATTATGTTTCAATTTTTATGAGCGAGTGAATGCTCGTCATGCTCACAGCCCAGCTGGGACTGCTGGATTCTACAAAGGCCTGGGTTCCTCAGAAGCAGACATGGCTTTGCCTGAGAGTCCCCCGGTAGAACACCAAGGACTAAAGCAGAGCTGTGCTGGAACTGAGGCAAGAAAACCACGGGTAAGGAGCCCTGTGATCAGCTGATTGGAATTGGGGTTTGTCAGACACGTGTCTGATGGGTGGGGAAAGACGAATGAACCAGTAAGAAACACTCGTGCAATACACAGTGCTGGAGTCACAGCTCTCTCAACGTGGCCCCACACCACCCAGGTCAATAATATATTAAAATATAGGGCCCGGGGATAATGTGGTGTTTCAACAGATTCATCCTCCACCTTCAAGTACCAGCATCCCATGTGAGGATACTTCACAGAGTTCATAAAGAGTGCATCTTGTGTTATCCAAAATCAGTGTATGACTTCAGCAACCAGTGTTCAAGGATTAGCAAGGCTGTACACTCCGCCCTCACTCTCAGATCAGGAAACCTTTATTTGTATGCCCCAAGTAAGCCTATCTTTGGATTTCATTCCCCACAAACTTTGTGTAGCCCGGCTGGCTGGTGTTTGCTTGTGGTTTGTGCACATTAAGGACACTTAGGATGGAACAGAAACTGGCACCGGGTGTACCCTCTCAGGCAGATGACCGAGGAAGACGGGACTTGTACCGGGTGCCTGCTGCACATTTTGTTCCAGGTGCACTTATTTTCAAAGAGAAATTAATTTACAAAGGAAAGAGAACACGCTGGTACTTTTTCAGTCTCCTTGATGACCTGCCCCCCGGGAAAGGACGTCGTGTGCCCTGGGACAACCAGAAGATTAAAATCTCAATTGCTATTGATTTCAAAACTGTGCTCTTCGCTTGGGGAGCTAGGACAGAGAAGGAGATGGCACAGCATATAATCCCATGACATTCCCACAGGCGCCTTCCGGCTTTCATGCCCCATTCTTGCTTTCAGACACAACACAGGATAAGTCTCAACCCCTGGGTAAGCCAAACGTGTTTCATAAATGTCTCCTAGGTGTGTCATAAATGCCTCCCATGTGACATTTGCTTGCTTGTGGTTTATTTATTTTGCTAATGCCAGATCTAGAGAAACCAATTTTTTTTTATTACAGTTTAGTGGCCAATGTAAGTGAGCAATCTTAATTGCTTTTATGATGAGCAAAGAAAAGACCTAAAAATAACCTCCCAACCTCATGTGATGAAGCCCAGCATAAATGAGATTAGTCACTCATCAGCAACAATACAACCATCAGGCCCTCTATGCTACTGTTGGTAGAAGGGTGTGAGGCCTTATACTCAAGAAGGGGGAGATCTTGCATAATTATTAAAAAAAGAAAAAACCAACCCACCTAACAAGGACATGTTTACATCCGTAGAACTTTCTGGAAACTCATATAGAATGATGTGAAATATTCAAATGCATCTAAAACACATACCTAAGAACAATGGAACTTCTGATCATTTGAAAACCAACGCATCCTCCACATGAAAGCTACTCATTTTTTGGCACATGCCATCAGATGATGTGAAATACTTAAGTTACTACAATTGCTCACCCTTGCTCTGTCCTAGGGTACTCACATTCAGGGAAGGGTCCTGTTGCTGATCTTGGAGGAAGCACGCTCAAGTGGCCCCCTCGGACAGGGAGGATAATGAAAGCTGAGTCCTTGGTCTTTGCAAGTGACCACAGTGCCACAGCAGCTGAGCTGCCCAGAACCTCCTGGGCAGGGAGCAAACCTGACATCCCAAGAGTTTTAGGGCAGAATGGACAGAAATCCAAACAGCAAGGAAGCGGACCAATTTACTGTCATTCAATTAATCAACCTGTCTCATGTGGGCTCAGCCTAGAAGGCTTTAGCTCGTTAAGCTCTTAACTGACCTTCTCACAGGGGGTGCTGATGTTGCTGAGTCTGGCCCATCCATATTGCACTGACACCTGTGGTGGCAGGAAGCTCTCCCTACTCAGAGCCTGGATAGGTCCTGGATTCCTTTGTTGTGCACCTGCTGCAGGTGTGACAGGTGGCCAGGTGTGTGCAGAGAACCATCGTCACAGGGACCAGTAAACTCCACGGTCAAGACATCTCAGCTTCTCTTGGGACAGTCTCCTGGAAGACGGCAGGCAGGGGGTGCAGCTGAGGGTGGGCTCACAGACCAGGCTGTGAGGAGCAACTCTTCTCTTCCTGTACCCAGAGTCGCAAACCGCACTGGACTCAGAGTCAGCTGCAAAAGATTAGGGCAGGGGTCTGGGTTTGGGTGAAGTCCCGCAGAAACAGGAGTGCTGGAAGGTTCTGTGGCATAGCTGAGGCTCCCAGCCCTTTCTGGGACCGGAACCTCCATGAGGGTCTGAGGGTCTTTACGTTATAATTTGGCTAAGTGTCCACCAGTGAGAACCTGGTCACATAAATAATAAAATAAGCCACATAGCCAGTGATTTCTGCCCTGTGGAAATGCAAATCTAAGCCCAACACAAGATCTGAACTCAAACAAAAGCTCATGACATCATTACTCACCGTAACCAAAAGTGGCAACAGTCCAGTGTCCACCAGCTGACTAGTGGATAGGCGGAATGGGGAATGGCCACACAGCGAGTGTTGTTCAGCAACAGAAGGGAGTGGTGCTCTGATGCATGGGGTAACATGAAAGAACCTTGAAAAATGATGACAGACGCCAGGCTTCAGATTGGCCCATGCAGGATTTCATTCGTTGGAAATGTCCAGAAGAGCAATTCTATAGAGATGGAAATTAGAGGCCAACTTTGCTTGTAGAAAATGAGTGAATTTTATGTTATATTAATCATATTTTAATAATGCTGCTAAGGTCATGATGTAAATATGCAATGGAATACTATGCAGCCATGAGAAAGAATGGAGAAGCTCTTTGTGTTCTAGTGTGTAAAAATACCAAAGAAAATCTAGATAGCATGCTATTAGCTATGTGGGAAAAAAATGGCGAGAAAAGCATATCTAGCTTATTTGGCTTCTGTGGCCATGAAGTGCCAGTGGAAGAATAAGCAAGAAATGAAAGTGGGGAGAGGAGAGGCGATGCATTGAACCTGTCATGACAGTCCTATGCTGTCACTTCTGCCGGTCCCCAGCCCTACAGGTGAGATGGCCAACTGTCATTGCTGTGGCCTAATACTGTCCCTGTGGCCCAAGGCAGCTGAGGGCAAGGCAAGAGGACTGATGCAGGTGCTGTTTGCATTTTGCTTCCTGGGTTTGGGTCAGCCTGGGCCGTCACAGAGCTGTGGGGTTGCATTGTACAGGCCTGGTATGTACTGTACTTTCTTTTTAGATAACTTAATGTATTTTTATTTGAAGGGTAG